TCAACACCTGATACTGGTGAATTGATAATATGGCAAACTGAACTGAGGTGCTAGAAAGGAAGGCCTTTTGAATAAGCAAAGAATCTGGAACAAAGAAGAAAAAGAGGTTTCAAGTTTGATTTTGAGTGTCTATATACTACGTAGTGAAATTTCATGAACTTTTATCATAGAATCAACTAGTATCATCTAAGGGTACTTTTGAAATGTTTCTCATGCCTGAAAATCAATAATAATATTTCAAAATAGTTCTTTCCAGTTAGGAAGTATGAGATGAAAACAGTTGGATGACAGGCACAAGAAAGTATTTTTAATTTGTGGAGCAATTCCTGTAAATGGGTTGCTCCCCAAGGAAGAAACAGTTTCCAAATAAATATTTTAGCAAACAAATATAGCTACATTTTTTTCTTAAATATTCTGTTAGAAAAAATATACATAAATGTATACTTTGATTGGTATCTATAAGTGGAATATTTCCAAAGTAGATATTGCCCACAGCTGGTTAGTATCAGAATTTATAGGGCTACTTTCTATACCATTTATACACATGATCAAACTTTTTAGCCCACATCATATGTGCAGGCCTCATTTTGGTTATTGCCAAAGTGAAAACAACAAGTAAGAAGCTTGGGGAAAACATCTGAGTGAGTTTTTGCCTATCTCAGGCAGCAATCCTTGCCTGCGGTCCCTGCATACACTTTAAGGAGATCTGCAAATCTGCAGAAACTACATGAAACAATGTTAATGTGTTTATATGGAAATTTTTCCATCCATGATTTTCAAAGCTTCTTATCCCCCTAAAAGAGTAACAATTATTGTTTAAGGAGTCCTTGTTCCTGGAAGATCCACTGCTCCAATAAACTGCAATACAAACTTGAACTAAAAGATTTAAACTGTGTACCCTCTCTGACCATAAACTGAGGTTGGTGATTCTAGTCACCACCTTTCCCTTGCGAGCCCTTCAAATACTCAGCTGCCATGGCTTTTTTTTTTTTTTTTAAGATTTTATTTATTTTTGCTTAGAGGAACAGGGGTATAGGCCAGAGGTGGGGGAGGGTGAGAGGATTCACCAGAGACAGAGTGGGGAGCAGAGCAGGTGGGTTTTTACTGAAATACACTGCTGAGGGGAGCAGCAGGTGAGACAGAAGTCTGCTGTGCCATGTGTGGGTTAGCTCCCTGGCCAGGGAAGGAAGTAGTGGCCCTTGGTGATGATTACGCTGAGACTTAACCCCTAGGCCACCAGGGAGTCCCCCTAGCTGCCATTTGAAGGAAAAACTGTTCCAAAATGTATACATTTTGTTGATATTAAACATTTCTTCTGTTAAAGTGTCTTGTATCCTGTGTCTGTTCAGCTAACAATAACGTGCTACCCTATTATGTGCAGCGGATGCTGAGGATAAAATGAAAGGCAAAATAGACGTGTTCTTGCTTTCCAGGGTGGATTTATAGCAAAAAGCATTCTCATTTTCCCTTATTCTCTGTAGTTCTGGAGAGAAAATTATCAAGCATGCTCAAGTTCATCAAATTTCAGCTAGAAATCTCTCATATTAAGCTAAATGCATGAAGTAAAGTGACACCTAGTGTTGGTAAAGTGACAGTGAAATGTGTTAGGACACTAAGTTGCTTATTCTTTGGCAATGATGTTAAACTTGACTTTAACCCTTAAAAAAATATAGTTCACTATTTTATACATTTTAGAGTAATTTTGAAATAATTCTGAATTTACATACTAATAAGACTTTTTACTTTAAAAAATAAAATATGCAAAGTTTAGAGAACTCTAAAGATCAAAATAATATTTGTGCATTTATCGCTTAACTTTGGAAAACCTTACCATTTTGTTGTTTATTTCAGATAGTTTAAAGATAAAACAGAATAGATATGTGATATCCTCTGAACTCTTTCCTGATTTCCTTTCCCTCTTTTTCTCATTAGAAGTCATTCTTACCTAGTTTATTTCCATGGCCATTGTATCCCAGGTTTGGAATACAAAATCTTATAAGATTTTTGCATTTTTTATATGTGATATAAATGATACCATGCTGTATAAGTCCTTCTGCAACTTGCTTTTTCTAGTTTAATAATGTTTATCAGACTTATTCATGCTGGTCGTCTGGCTCTTGTCATTTATTTTAACTGCTGCATGTAGGGATTCATTGACTGAATTATCCATAATTTACTTATTTTGTAGTTGATGGACATTTCGGTTGTTTCCAGTTTCTTGGTCCTAGAACCCAGGTCACAGCGAACACACATGTACATGACCCCGCGTGCACACATGTGAGAGTTTCTCTAAGCTGCACACCTAGAAAGTACTGTTCAGGTACGTACTTCTCTGACATCTGACTTATTCTTTTTCTCCTAAAATCTCTCTGAGGTTAATTTGTTTGCTCAACCAGCCTGAGCAGATTTCTTGGTTCTAGTCTAAGTCCATGATTCTTCTATGCAATGTTCCTGGTCTCGATTTTCCTTATTAAAGAAACAGAAGGGCTTAAGGAGATTGTTTTTTCATTAAACATTTTTGTGAATATATAAGTAACATATACACTGATTTCTGAACACTTGGAAAATACAGAAAAATATAAAAATCACCCATCATCTTATCACCCAGAGAGAGCCACTATTAACATTTTGACATATTTCTTGCTGGAGAAAGATAGCTGAGCACACATATATACAAATTAGGAATGGGATATAACTAAATGTGTAAATGAAATCAATAAGGAGAAAAATACTTTCTATTACTTTATGAAAATAAATTCAGATATGAAAGATTATTGGGAAAATATAAATGACCATAATTGGCTCAAGAATAAATAGCAGAAAAGCCAGAAAAGATTTATAACTATGAAAAAGCTGAAAATATTTGTAGAATATTTGTAGAAAATATTTGCAATAAAATATTTTCATGATATTCCCTATTGTATAGAATAGGGAGACTTAAAAGTCTACAAATCAAGTAATTAGCAGAGCTGGATCCTGTCAATAATTTCTTTGACTACAATCACAAAACTCTAAGTAGATCTGGTCCCACCAAAGAAAAAACTCATACTATGGTAGGGAAGATAGTCAACAATCAGCAAGCCAGTACCTTACTGCAGATGCAGATGCTAGAACTGTTCTGGGTAGAGGGGATACTGATGTATAAGTTCATCTCTTTGTCCAAGGAGCGTTTAGTTAAGACAGACAAATAATTATTCAAACTATCCTGCAATATATTAATTGCAGTGACTGAGTTAAAAAAAAGAAGTGTTTTGAGGGCCCATAAGGGAGTGATGCCATGGGAATCAAGAGAGAGCACATATTGAATGTACCATTTGGGCTGGCTTTGGAAAGGTAAGGAGAGCAGAGAGAGAAAGGTTATTCCATGCATAGGGAACAACATGTGCAAAGGCAATACCCTATAGGTAATCAATATATTGACTTCACTAGATGTCTCTTTAAAAACAATACAAGAGGCATGTTGTCTTTGACAGAAGGCAGTAACTTCTAACGGCAAGCTTCTTTCATCATAATAAAAGTGCTTGGTTCACATTAAAATGGTAGTGATATTTGGCACATCTACTGTATTTTTTAATAAGTTGTCAGAGATTCTGCCGTGCCATCTGTCTTCTAAGCAAGTTATTATGAAGGCTGTCAGTAAAAAGTAAAGATGAGAATAAGCAATATATCTACCAGTCAGCAGGAGGCTGAGAATCTGTTCATTCAGAATCAGCAGGGGGCTGTGGGAAAATGTCTATTGCTAAGGGGAGCAGTGGGCAAACAGGAGAGGTCTGTTGCACTATATGTGGGTTAGCTCCCTGAGTGGGGATCAACTCAGGCCACACAGGTGATAGCGTGATAATACTGAGACTTAACCCCTATGCCACTAGGGAGGCCCCCTGATTCCTGTTCTTAATTAATCACATTTCTAATTTCTTTTCTTTGAGACTCAAGAGACAATTAACAGCATCTCTGCAAAATCTCATTTCATTTTTGACATAATTATACTTAACTTTCTCAACTGAGAAATCTATAAGAAACTTATTGTTACTTAAACTGAAAAGCTGAAAAGCTATTCTGTTCTCTACTCAGGAGTATAAACAGTCAATCTCCTTTTATAACTAAAAGCTTATTCAACACAAAGGATAGTATTTATTCTAATCCTTATTTTTTCCAATTATTAAATACTATCAGTTAATACTAATATCTTAAGTTTGGAAAGGGGGGTCTCCCTGGTGGCACAGGGGTTAAAGTCTCAGGACTATCAAGCTATCGCCAGCCTCTGCTAACCCACAACGTGCATAGGTGATCTCTCCTATCTCACCCACTGCTCCCCTCAGCAGTGTATTTCAGTAGATCTGTCTGTTCTGCTTCCCACTCTGTCTCTCGTGAGTCCTCTTCTTCCCCTCACCTTTGGCCTACACCCCAGTCCTTGCATGCATAAATTAAAAAAAAAGTTGGAAAGGTATTTGAGATTATTCCAATTCCTTAACTAATGCAAAAATAAGACCTAAAGAGATCAAGGTACTTAACCAAATATTAATGTTACCATGTGTAAATATTGTAAAATTTTAGCTTTCAGAATTATAGCAACCATAGATGGTATATCCCTATAAATGCTATAAATAAATAATAGAGCTAATTTGATATGAAATAAATCTGGCCTTTTCTGTCTTAACTGATTATTACAGCTAAGGGCAAATATCAATTATGAATAGTATTAAGTTCATCACTTCTATAGTTCCTTAAATAATAGCCCACTTTGTTTCAGTAACACATAAAAATGTTCTCTAGTGCCTCAAAAATTAAAGTGCTACTCAAAGTCCCTCATATTAGGCAGCTGTGGCAACCCAATGAAGAGTGTCTGATTCCAAATGTTAAGTTAAAAAGTTCTGGTTATGGCTGCTGGTGGTGGTTATTTCAATCATGTGAGTGTACTTAATGCCACTAAATGATACACTGAAAAGCAGTTAACAAAGTACATCTTATGTTATGTCTATTTAACCACACACATACACACGTCAATAGTGTTAGACTGAGAGCTTTAAATCACCGGGAGTTCCTCTTCTAGAAAAGTAATACAGTACTGCTGGAAAGACCAAGAAATAGTCTGCACCTGACAAAATGACATCAAAGCAAACAACCACGCTTTCCTCTTGGAAAAGATATTTTGTTCTCTCTTGACTTGCTTCCAAATTTCTTTCATCCACACTTCCAAGCCAGTTTCCTCAGCCACATGTAGACAGCTGCAAGAAAAATGAACGCACAAACTATAATTAGGTCATTTTTGGCTTAGCCCAGTTTCATTTAGGTTTTAGTTACTTAGGTTTCAGCAACCAAAAGTCTTGACAAATACAAAATCAGCAAAGACATGTAGACAAACACAGAAAGTAAAACAAACAAACAAACAAACAAAACAAAAAACCCCCATAAAATCACATGGCTACCTGGAGAAGAGAGAATAAAATGGTAAGAAGGAACATGCTCCAAAAACTGAGTCTTGGTATTGGAAAGATTTATTTTCTTTTTCTGGTCACAAAGGAAGGTAAATGCTGACAGTAAATGAAAACAATTCCCAGGAGGTTCAAAAGTACTGATTTGTAGGCCCTATACCCAGAGATTGTGTTTTTTAAGTATTTTTGATCAAGGTGCAGCTGGGTTGCCTAGAGTGTCCAGATAACTCTAATGCACAGCGAAGAGTAAGAACTACTGGTCCAAGAAAGGACATTGCAATACATATAAACTACAGAACAATGAAGTCCCCATTTGCACAGGTACAAATTAATTTCTAAGTGCCTGTGTGGCAATCAAAAATGTGACTGAAAACTTACAACTGCCACCCTGTGGAAGGATGCCTTCCTCTCATGGACTGTTCCAATGCTTATTCCAGAGACATGGGCAGCACCAACCATCAAGCTCTGTGAAGAAGCAGTAGCCAGTTCAATAATGTAAAACATAGTATTTGCTTCTCATTCCTTCTTATCTTACCTTTTTGTTTCACTTTTGCTGCTCTGGGATTGCTTGCACCTGTCAATAAATGATTCACACTTAAATTTTTCCTCAGGGTCCACTTTATAGGGATCGTGGGCTTGACACCATGGGAGGAACTTTTCTCAGATCAGAATAATAGAAACAACTATTTTTTCTATACACACACACACACACACACACACAACTTCTGAATGATAAATTCACATAAAAAGACTGTTTGAACTCGCTGCTGGCAATGTAAAAGAAAAAGATCACCAGGGAGGCCACTACACCATCTTCTAGACTCCATTTGAACTCATCTGAAATATATTTTTGGGCTTGATTTACTTCTGTGTGTTCCACCCCCCGCCCTTAGCCTAACCTTGCTATTTCCACTTCCTTTAAAGTGGGGTTGATAAAAACAGGTGGGAAGAGCACCAGCAACTATGGTGATGGGACACGGGTGAATTGGTGGTGCGACTTTCACGGGGATTACACCTGAGAGGAGAAAGCATACATTGTACAAAAATGAAGAATGATGTAAAATAAAATAAAAAAAAGTACGGCTGATAAAAGCCTGGCAGCATAGAGAACACTCAGCTACTATAGGACCGTGGCAGAGGAGACTCCATCACAGAATCTGGAAAAGTAAGGAGGAAACAAGAGAATCCTGAACTCATTCTCACAGTTGTTGTTGTTTTTTTTTTTTTTTAAATTTATTAATGCATACAGAGATGCCAGGTGTGAGATGATCTCCAGAGACAGCGGGGAACAGAACAGGCAGATGTACTGAAATACATGCTGAGGGAAGCAGCGGGTAAGTCAGGAGCGGTCTGCCGCGCCGTGTGGGTAGCTCCCTGCGGGGCTAAAACTCCTGCTGCAGTGCCTGCAGATAGCTTCACAGTGCTGTGACTTAAACCCCTGAGCCACCAGGAAGGCCCTCATTCTCACAGTTGTAAAGGGACAAAGGAAACCGTTATTTGTCAAGCTGTCGAGAAATCTCATTGGCGCAACAAGGCACACAGCACCTCCCCGGCCGCCCCCAGCCTCATCCCGACCCTCCGAGTCGGGTTGGACAGAGGAAAATCTCCCAGCGCGCCGCCCGCCAGCGGCTGCGGAAACAGGAAGGCGCGCCCCTTCGCTGGTTGCCAGGAGACACGGTCGCCACCTCCTCCAATCAGCACGCGTCTCTTTGCATCCAATCACAGAAGCCGAAGGCGCCTGGGTCGAGGTGAAAGGTCACGCTGCTGCAGAGCGGCCATTTCTCCTGCGGCTCCGCGGCTCGGGCCCCGCGCTAGGCACTGCGTTCGCGAGGCACGGACGACAGCTGGGTGTGCGGCGGCCGGTAGTTTGCAGCATTTGCCCGCAGACGCGATGGTAAGGAGGAGGGGAAGGGCCAGAGTCGCCAAAGAGGGAGAGAAAGAGGGCGGGAGGGCGAGCCGCCTCGCCGGGCCTGGCGGTGCGCGCGCTTTTCATTCATCCGCGTGAGGAGGCGCGCGCCGGCCTGCCGACCCCTTTCTCCCCGCTGAGGCGAGGAGGAGGGGTGGATGCAGAAGCGCGCGCCTCCGATGCCCTCCTCACCCCTTCTCAGAGCGCCCCTGCCAGCTCCCCTCTCTCCGTTTGAATCGCAGCCGAGGTATCCTGAGAGTCGGGGTAAAGATGAAGCGGTGTTTCACGTTCCACTTCGCACACCCCCAAATCCGCTTTCTTTTCATGATACCGGAACCCCGCAGTGCTAGCGACCTCAGCGCCCAGGCTTTGCAGCATTTGTTCGTTCCGCAAATATTTATTGAGAACGTGCTACCCGCCAGATACCATCCTAAGCGCCAGGAGTAGAAGGTGAAAAGGTCTGCTGCAAACCCAGCTTGAGGTTAATTAGCTACATCGGGCATAGGAAACAGGCACTGACCGAATAATGAAAGCAGTGTGTGATTGCAAGGAATGAGAAGTGCAAAGGAGTCAAACAAGATGCTGTCAAGGGCGCGGTGGAACGAGTGGGCAGGGTTGGATGAGTGGGCAGGGTTGGCATTCCTGGAAGGGGGGATTTAACCTGAACCCTAAGTGTCATGAAACCCGGCCCTTTAAATAGCTGAAGGAAGAGTGTACTAAGCACAGGGAACAGGAGCATGGGCCCTAAGTCCAGAAGCAAGCTTGACCAGTTGGAGGAATGGACCACAAGCCACAGCTGCTTACAAGAATAGTGGGGTTTTGAGAGAGGGTTGGGCAGGACCTCTTTTAGGATTTATTGGCCGGGGTTAGGGGGTTGAGGGGATTGTGTTTGGATTCTACTCCAAGTTTAATTGGAAGCTGTCAAAGTGTTTCAAGCAGAACTATCACGTGATTTGATACATACTTAAAAAATGGTAGTTGCTGTATGGCTATAGAAAGATATATGAAAGTTCAAGTTCCATTAGTCCTCACATCCTTTGAGATCACTCTGAGTATGCTTGCAGGGGATTAGTAGCACAGTTTATTGGTTCTTTTCTTTCTTTGACTTAATCGTTGAGCAGAGAAGGGAAGGAGAAAAAGCCTGAATTCACTGGGGCTGCTACTGGTTTGTTGACTAAACAAACATCCAATGGTTACCCATATGTAGGAGGATTGCTAAGTCAAATATGACAGTCTTGGTTTCTAGAAGTCAAGTGAAAAACTGTCAAAGCTGGTCTGCTTGCCCCCTGCTTCCTTCTGTAGCCACCCATTTAGGTCTTTTGACAATCCTGAATTGTTTGGAAATCCCTGAGATCTCGTTGTTGCTTTACTCTTCCTTCCTTTTACACAGGTAACCTCGCCTGCAACAACTTGTTTTCCCCTCTGGGGATACCTCTGTCCTTTAACACAGGCATTTCAGGCAACCTTTCTTTTTCTCTTGGCACCCTTGTGCATAGCTTATCTCCATAATACACTGCAACATAATTGTCTATTTATATGTGTTTTGCCTCTCAACTTCCCACTGTGAGCTTCTTGAGGACAGAAGCTGTCATCTGCATTGTTTGTTTGTTTGTTTTTTTAACTGCCTTTATTGTTTATTATTACCTGGCATAATACAATAAGTAGTCAGTGTTTTTTAAGTGAATAAGGAATACTTTTAAAGTTTTGATGTGTTGGATCTAGATAACTGAGCATTTAAACTTATCTGATGCTTTTCAACAAATATAAGTGAAAATTCTGTGGTAAAGTGAGTCAAGAATGTGCCTCAGTTGGATACCATGGAATATTGGTGATTTGGTAGAGGAGAGTGGGTGGTGGAAGCCCAGCTAAGGAAAAAATAAGTCTTTTTTTGTTTGTTTATTTTTGTGCAGAGTTTACCTCTCAATCCCAAACCTTTCCTCAATGGATTAACAGGAAAGCCAGTAATGGTGAAACTTAAGTGGGGAATGGAATACAAGGGCTACCTGGTCTCTGTAGATGGCTATATGAACATGCAGGTAAGCAAAGTTATAACGAGCATTAAATTGTATTTATTTTCTTCACCTTATTCTTCAGAGGTTTAATGTTACTTATAAAGAATACCGTGGATTAAATTGACACTTGTAAAGCAAGATTCAGGAATAAAGTCAATTCCAGGAAGGGCAGTTTAACTGATCAACCACGAAGGAGACTTCTAGTTAAAAAGAGCTCATTGATTCATAATGCCTTGAGGAAAACACAACTGATGCCTTGGAAAAAGCAAACCTTTTCCCAGCTTTAACTCTGAAAGAAATTTCTCAAATGAAACTTTAAGTCTTTTAATACTAAAGGCATACATCAAAGTACTTCCATGAAAACATTCCTTTATGGGGAAGACAGACAGCAAAGGAATTGATGAACTGACTGACAGGTCTTTTAAACTACTTTATAGTTTCAGTCAGATTTTTAAAAAAAATTTATTGTGGTAAAAAATACATAGAAGTTTACCACGTTAGCCATTTTTAAGCGTACAACTCAGTGGCATTAAGTACTTTTACATTATTGTGCAGCCATCGCTATTACCAATTTTCAAACCTTGTTCATCATCCCAAAGTGAAACTACCCGTTAAATACATAACTCTCCATCCCCCCTGCACACAGCTTGTGGTAAACACTCTTCTTCGTATTTCCGTCATATAAGTGAAATCATACAATATTTGTCCTTCTGTGTCTGGCTTATTTCATTTAGCATAATGTTTTCAAGATTCAGCCATGCTGTTGTATGTGTCAGAATTTCATTTCTGTTCAAGGCTGAAATCATATTCCATTGTATTTATAGACTGCATTTTCATTTTTTCCTGTTGTTTCCACCTTTTCACTATTGTGACTAATGCTGCTATGAACCTGGCTATTCATTTACATTTAGTCTCTGCTTTCAGTCCTTTGAGTATATAGTCAGAAGTGAAATTGCTAGATCGCGCAGTGATCTTTTGTTTAATGTTCTGAGGTGCTGCCATATTGTTTCCCATAGCTGTTGCACTGTTATACGTTTCACCAGTAATGCGCGAGGGTTCTGATGACTGATTTCTTCACACCCTCATCAGTAGATGTTTTTTTAACATCCATCCTAATGAACGTTAAGGCATATCTCATTGCTCTGATTTGCATTTCCCTAATGATTAGTGATGTTGAGCATCTTTTTATATGTGTATTGGTCATCTATATATCATCTTTAGAGAAATGCTTGTTTATGTGCTTTGCCCATTTTTAAGTTGGGGTGTTTTGTTTTTTGTTGCTTAGTTGTAATGTATCCAGCCAGGTTTTTAAGGATAAAATTTATGTTTTCCTGAAGTGCAGTATTTATGTGACTGATCCATTAATGGCAGATGGAAAAATTTTAAAGGTTGCCTAGAAAGGTATTCAGTCAAACTATGATTCCAGAGTACTGCGTACTGGGGCCTCCCTGGTGGCACAAGTTTCAGCACTATGAAGCCATGAGCAGTCACTGCAGCACGAGTTCAATCCCCCGTCAGGGAGCTAACCTACATGGCACAGCAGACCTCTCCTGTCTTGCCCGCTGCTCCCCTTAGCAGTGTGTTTCAGTAGATCTGCCTGTTCTGTTCCCCGCTCTGTCTCTGGTCACTCCTCTCACCCCCACCTCTCGTATACGTAAATAAATATTTTAAAACAACAACAACAAAGTATTCTGTACTGATTGTACTTGTAGATAGAGCCCTGATAGGAGTTCTTGTAGGCAAAAGCCTGAGATTTTTCCTTAAGAGTTTACCTCTTGAGCAGATGACACTCATGTTCCCAAAGTTACTGAGCCTGATTTGGACTGGGACAATACCCTAAGCCAGATTCATGAGCAAAGGTCATAGAAAAATCTGAAGTTTATCCATTGTGCTGAAAATGTTCTGAAATTAGATAGTGATGGTGATTGCACAATTTTATATGAAAAAAGCCACTGACTTGATTACTTTAAAAGGGTAAATTTTATGCTGTGGGTACTATATCTCAATAAAAAAGAAAGAATAAGGACTATCCACAGTCTATTTGGTTTTAGAAGTAATATAGCTTCCTGGTGCGTTGCAAGGTTATAAAATGTACCGGAGAACTAAACACATTAAATAATGCTTTTGAGTTCATTCACTCAGCGCATAATTATTGTGCATCTATTACTTGCCTGGCACAGTGGATACACCAATGACCAAAATAAAGTCCCTACCCTTAAGTTTATGTTTTAGTGCTGGGAGTTGGTAATATAATTTGATGTGGTATCACATAATGATAGATACTATGAAGGGGGAAAAAAAAAAAAAAGGCAGAAACTGTCTATTGTGACAAGAGTGCAATGTTAGGATAGCCAGGAAAATGCTCTCTGAGGAAGTAAATTTAAAAGGCCAGACTTGGGCCTCCCCCGTGGCGCAGCGGTTGAGCGCTGGGTTGCGAAGCTGCCCGCAGCCTCTGCAGCGCCGGTTCAATCCCCGGCTGCTCCCCGGCTGCTCCCCGGCCACCAGAGGAGGGTCCCACATGGCGCGCAGACCTCTCCTGCCGCCCGCTGCTCCCCTCAGCAGTGTACTTCGGTCCTTCTGCCTGCTCTGCTCCCCGCTCTGGCTCTGGTGAATTCTCTCACCCTCCCGCGCTTCTGACTGTACCCAGCGCTTCTGACTGTACCCAGTGCTTGTATAAATAAATAAATAAATCTTTAAGAAAAAAGATTATAAAAAAAAAAAAAAAAAAAGGCCAGACTTGAATAAGCAACTAAAGAGAGCATTTGGGGAAAGAGCATCCCAGTTCAAGGAAACAGCAAGTGCAAAGGTCCTGTGATGGGAACTTACTTGATGCTTTCAAGGCCAGAGCAGAGTTAGAACAATGATAGAAAGTTAGGTTGGAAATGGTAGTCATGAAAGGACCTTTTAAGTGATAGTGACATCTTTGGATTTTATTGGGTTGTCAGAAAAAGTCATGATGCATTTTTTCTGTTTTTCAAAGATTTAAAACTCATTATTTAAATGTGATAAAATGCCTTTGGAACATGTTGATGAATATCTATAAAAAATAATCACTTAAAATTTCTGAGAACTGTTATCTTCAAAACTAATTATGCAGCAACTACATGTTTCAGACAAGACCATATTCTCTGGGTATCGGATTTAGTTTTTGATCTTTCTAGGGGAATAACATTCAATTGCAATATTAATTCATTAACATGTTTTAAATGCCTTACATTGCATTTGTTATAAGCCCTATTTATCTCTCCCTTTGCTGCTTAGTTTAAAAAAAAATGCCCTTCTATTTCTCCTGTTCATTTCTTTTGTGAATTCCAGATAGCACTGATTGTGAGTTTTTAAAATAAAAGTAAAGTTTATTATTATGTATAAGCTAAACATTTTGATGTAAAATTAGATAGAGTGGAGTTCTCTGAAATAACTGTAAGGTCCCCTCACTCCTAATTGTTTAACCTCCTTAAGAACTTGGTTTTTCCTGTTTATTGGCATATAATCTTAAAAAATTTATTTATTGGGCCTCCCCGGTGGCGCAGCGGTTGAGTGCTGGGTTGCGAAGCTGCCCGCAGCCTCTGCAGCGCCGGTTCGATCCCCACTCATTGGGCGAGGGTCCCACATGGTGCGCAGACCTCTCCTGCCGCCCGCTGCTCCCCTCAGCAGTGTACTTCGGTCCTTCTGCCTGTTCTGCTCCCCGCTCTGGCTCCGGTGAATTCTCTCACCGTCCCGCACTTCTGACTGTACCCAGTGCTTGCATAAATAAATAAATAAATCTTTTTTTTTTTTTTAATGTATTTATTCAGGTCTTTGGTTTGATTGTTGACTAAGATGAAAATATTTGCTATTTTATACATACTTCGAGGTATGTTAATATCTGGTTCTTTGGAAATGAATTTTTGGGAAAAATTTTAATCTCAATTTATTTATAAATTGAGGACTCTCCAACACATTGTTTTAATAGAAATAGTACATAACAGACATGTAAAAAAAATTATGTTGAAATGAGCTTTATTTTATACTAGTTCTGTACCCATCTATGTTAGCTTAGTACTACAATTGTAATAGAAAGCTAATAAAGTAATAGAAATAACAATAGTAGAAATTACTGTAATAATAATAGAAAGCTAATCTCACTAATTATAGGCAAATATAAGTTGTTAGGATAGAAAGGTTGTGGTTAATAAGTTCTCAGCAATTTTAGGTATGTCATACTATTTTTCTCCTATATGATTGTGCAAATATGTTTTCCTTTTAAGCTTGCAAATACAGAAGAATACATAGATGGAGCATTGTCTGGACATCTGGGTGAAGTTTTAATAAGGTAACAAAACAATGGTAGTATATGATAGAAGTTACTGGTGAGGATTAGAAGTGCATCTTTAAACTAATTGGTGCCTCAAAGTTACTTAAAAAAATTGCTATTAACAATATTCTACAACTAGACTTTAAGAATCTTTGAAATGGTTAAAAACTTGTCATAGAAAATGTGAACGTTTGTAGTTATTCATCCTTGAGATATTTCTAGTGTTGATATTAAACTTCTAGCTGTTGTGTAGCTATAACCTTTTCACAGTGGTTTTAGTTGCAGGAGCTTGGTTTTTGAATTTTAGTTGAGTCTGGCTTCTATTAGGGATTTTTGTCATACTCATTTTCTTGAGCTAGCTCTACTCCTCCAAATTCTAGTCATTTTTCCCCTTGGAAGATCATAAGGATACCATTTTATAACAACCACATGGTCAAAGTGCCATGTACTTTCTAATAAATCAGTAGAAAAGGCTTTAAAAAAGAGAAAGAAATGATACGTTGTAAATTTAGCATTCAGTACTTTTATAATGAAAACAATTTAGTAATAGTTATTCAAATCTGATATGGTTTCCAGTTTGAAAAACAAAAGAACTGTTTTTCTGTTTACAGGTGCAATAATGTCCTTTATATCAGAGGTGTTGAAGAAGAAGAAGAAGATGGGGAAATGAGAGAATAGCGTCTTTGTGGGGAATTTTTTTTATATATATTTCTAGACAATAAAGATTTGTGTGTTTTTCAACTTGACTTGTGAACGATTCATATTCAGATGTTTATATGCAAAGCTCAAATACTGAAACAATTGAAAGATTATTCACAGGATTAATGTTATAAAGGCCACCCAATTTCATAAGTCCAGTACTCTTTTCTTTTATAAGGGAATATTATTCATATGCTTTGTAAATATTTATGAAGGTGAATTTCAGCCTATTTCTTGTAATTATATATTAACTGAGACCTTTCTAAGTTATTTTTGAGCCGCTTTTGACATGTATAAGGTTAAATATTTTCTTAAGATGAATTATTTTACTTGTCAACAAATTATATATATTAGTTATTACATTTAATTCTATATCAATGTAAGCTAAATAATGTACATATAGTTAAAATTGAAATATCACTTGCAAATTAAAATAATGTAGTACACAAAAATTGTGAGTTGACATTTAAGCTGAAGGTATATGGTTTGTTCAATTACGAGAATTTTATTTTCTGAACAGAATTCTTTTTTAAAGATTTATTTATTTATTTATTTATTTATACAAGCAACAGGTACGGTCAGAAGCGCGGGAGGGTGAGAGAATTCACCACAGCCAGAGCGGGGAGCAGAGCAGGCAGAAGGACCAAGGTACACTGCTGAGGGGAGCAGCGGGCAGCAAGAGAGGTCTCTGCACGCCATGCTGGACCCTCCTCCAGTGGCTGGGGGGCATCCAGGGATCGAACCAGCGTCGCAGAGGCTGCGGGCAGCCTCGCAACCCAGCGCTCAACCACTGCGCCACTGGGGAGGCCCCAGAATTCTTTAATGTGAATTAAAAACCACTCTCACAGTTATGTTCTGAGGAAACATAATCTAGAGGTTTTTATTTAAAGTTATAAACCCCTCACAACCCTTCAGATATTTTAGACCTGTGCACTATTGAAATGTACTCTCTACACTGGTACAATGTATAACTTTCCCAAAAACTGGTTGAAAAAACATTCAAAGTCAAGATGGTGGAGAATACCATTATTGTGCTTTAACAGCCATCCACCATAGAGTTACATTAATAAAGTAACTTTGGATGTGCACTCCCTACTGGGACAAGTCAAATTATAGATTTAAATGTTTAGCTATGTAGAATAGCACTTAGAATGTAGATATTAAAAAGCTTCAACAAAAGAAAGTCACCCTCATTCCCAGTCCTATGACCTTTGGAATAAGGGCCTGTCGTCTGCACGTAGTTTAGGCAGCCTATGGGGCACAGTATTGCTCTTACTAAAAACCAAAATCTACAAAATATGTCCAAAACATTTGGTAATAAATGTCTTACTGCTTCTACTCAAGTGAAAAAATACTCATCCTCTTGCGATTTTGTTTTTGTATCCCTGACTAAAAGTAGCTCGTGCTTGTTAGCAGATGGAGGTTGTGAGCGATACATAAGTCGTCTTCCCACCTGAAACAAAAGAAAAAATATTTGTTAGCATAAGAATTTTCTACTGAAGTATAAATAAACCACTCTGATTACCTTGATTGTCCAAAAAATAATATGGTTTAAAACAGACAATATTCACAGTTACACAAAGGGCCTCACACCCAGTGGATAGCCAATGTGCTGGGCAAAGTGAAGTAACAAATGGAGCACTACATGCAGAAGACAGGACACTTGAGTTTTATGGGGAAGCGAGATTTAGCTAAAGTCCTTATAGGTTTCGGGTATCGTCAGTCTCAAAAAGCACCATTTTTCAGGCCAACATTTCATTTCTCAGTCAGTGCCATAGCTGGTTTTCCCTATGGTTAGAGTTCTGATGAACACTTAATTGGCATTTTAAAATCCTGTTAAACCAAATCTTGAGAAAATCACATAGTAACCTCTTAAACACTATCCTGTTGGCACTTGGAGGTATTCCCACAGGAGAGACTTGGAGAAACCCGTCCATTCATACACTTGAGTATATCAAGTATTAAATATATTTTTTCCTCATTTTTTGTTTCCCCTCCTTTATTCTTTTTATATCGAATTTCTGTAAATTAAATGGTTGAAAAACATTCTATGGGACATAAATTTGAATTTTGGAAGGGGCTCTGTCCATGTGTGGAACTGCCTCAGGCACTGTAAAATGTTTGACACTCCTGGACTCAGAAATAAGTGGCAACAGTGATCTTCCCCATCTTGACACGCCCCACCTGATGAAGTTTTGGTCAGTGACTGATTGCATATATGGCAGTGGTCCCCAAGTCCCTATTGCCAAGTGGCATGACACATTACAAAGTCATAGTGTTTTATGTATTTTAAGGTAAGGCCTCATACGTCTGTCTTGTACAGGATGACAAAAGCACCTAACAATGCATTTCTCAAAATGTGTCTCCACCAATGAGAAGTGACTAATAACAACAATAGCAATCAATTCATTTTCTAATATCAGAATTTTTTTTTCCGCTTCTTTGGTGTAATCTTTGTTATTCGCACAGCCTGAAAAATAGCCAGTAATGAACCATCCTAACTAGACAAGGACTTCTAGCAGATCAGTTTCTTTTTTTTCAGTTTTCATCCAGTTTTAGTTTGCATTCTCATTTGTAGTCTGTTAATTCAATAAGCTTTTTTTTTTTTTTTTTTTTAAAGATTTATTTATTTATACAAGCACTGGGTACAGTCAGAAGCGCGGGAGGGCGAGAGAATTCACCAGAGCCAGAGCGGGGAGCAGAGCAGGCAGAAGGACCGAAGTACACTGCTGAAGGGAGCAGCGGGCGCAGGAGAGGTCTGCGTGCCATGTGGGACCCTCCTGTGGTGGCCGGGGAGCAGCTGGGGATTGAACCGGCGCCGCAGAGGCTGCGGGCAGCTTCGCAACCCAGCGCTCAACCGCTGCGCCACCGAGGAGGCCCTCAATAAGCTTTTTTAATGAGTATCCACTATACGCCAGATACTGGGGATCATAAAACTCATTCATACTCTAGAGATGATTAAAAAATTTCAATTTGGTGGGTTTAGTGAACAGTTTTTTTTTAAGATTTATTTATGCATACAAGAGCTGGGGTACAGGCCAGAGGTACAGGGAGGTGGGGGGATAGGATTTACCAGAGACAGAGTGGGGAACAGAACAGGCAGACTGACTGAAATACACTGCTGAGGGGAGCAGTGGGCAAGACAGGAGAGGTCTGCTGCACCATGTGGGTTGCTCCCTGGCCGGGGATTGAACTCATGCTGCAGAGGCTGCGAATTGCTTCATAGTGCGGTGCTTAACCCCTTGCACCACCAGGAAGGCCCCTTAGTGAAGAGTTCTATGTGCATATGGAAAGTTGATGGTTGATCCCTTGGCACGAGAGGACATGTTAGGTCTTCATAGAAAGTTGAACTAGATAAGTACCTTTTTAAGGAGACCCTTTTAAGGAGAAAGTCTTAAAATATTTTAGGATAATCATTACTTTTCTAACATAGTTCATATTAGCAGTTACCATATTTCTTTAGAACTTAAGTACTTACCTCAATAGCCTGGTTGTGAAGTACATAATAAGCACTCACGATGGGCTAGCTATTATGTAAGAACCAGTGTTCACATTAGCATTGCAGATACCCATCAGATTGTCTATCTGGAATGTATTTCAGACCCTAAGCCGAGGAGGGCCAGAGTGGCAGATAGAAACAAAGACCCTCCTCACCCAGGGGAGAGACCTGGGCCACGTGCCCTCAGCCACTGCCCAATCCCCCGCTTTCTATTGGTCAGGAATCTGCAGTATAAAGGCTTTGGCTGCTGGTCCCAGCTCTGCTGCTGAGTTAGAAGTGACTGGGAAAATCATTTTAACTTTAACATCTCATTATTTTCACAGTGTGGGAATTGAAAAGCCTTGCCAGTTATAAGTAATTCTCTGGGTTTACTATCTTTATTGGATGTAGAATGTAAGAAGCAAGGGCCTCCCCGGTGGCGCAGCGGTTGAGCGCTGGGATGCGAAGCTGCCCGCAGCTTCTGCTCCCCGGCTGCTCCCCGGCTGCTCCCCGGCTGCTCCCCGGCTGCTCCCCGGCTGCTCCCCGGCTGCTCCCCGGCTGCTCCCCGGCTACCTGAGGAGGGTCCCGCATGGTGCGCAGACCTCTCCTGCAGCCCGCTGCTCCCCTCAGCAGTGTACTTCGGTCCTTCTGCCTGCTCTGCTCCCCGCTCTGGCTCTGGTGAATTCTCTCACCCTTCCGCACTTCTGACTGTACCCTGTGGTGCTTGTATAAATATAAATAAAAAATATTTTTAAAAAGTTAAAAAAAAATAGAATGTAAGAAGAAAGATTTCTAGCTACTATTTGTAAATACATATATTTACAATAAATATATGTGTAAATAAATTTTAATGTATAAAATAGTTATGCAAATACATACACATGTATATAAGGTAAACATGTAAATATATACATATATATGTATATGTGTATATAAACACTTAGGATTTTTCCAAAAGGATAAAGATAAAATTGTCTTTTTTTCCTTTCAAATCATGTTTATTCGGGTTAAGTACGTTTACATCTTTGTGCCTATTTCGGCGGTTACAGGTGCAAATTTCTGTCCATGAACTGTTAACTGTTTATCTCCAGGGAACCAACTTAAGTTTCACAGAATACTCTTGTTTCTTGAACTTTGAGCCATATTCTTTTTTTTTTAAGATTTATTTATTTATTTATTTATTTATACAAGCACTGGGTAGAGTCAGAAGCACGAGAGGGTGAGAGAATTCACCAGAGCCAGAGCGGGGAACAGAACAGGCAGAATGACGAAATACACTGCTGAGGGGAGCAGCGGGCACGGCAGGAGAGGTCTATTGTGCCATGTGGGACCCTCGCCAGTGGCCGGGGATCGAACTGGCGCTGCAGAGGCTGCAGGCAGCTTTGCAGCCCAGCGCTCAACCACTGAGCCACCAGGGGAGGCCCTTGAGCCATATTCTTGTATTCCCTACTCAAAAATTATTGGGAAAAAAAAAATTCTCATTTTGTGCATTTGGAGCTAAAGAAAAAGAGGAGCATTTTAATAAAAAGTGGGTCTAATAGAGAACTGTTGACCTAGGAAGTTGAATTATCCTGAAAGTAGCAAGGAATCAGAAAGAGACCAAGTGCAGCTGTGAGCAAAAAGGTATTTTACTAAAGTTGGGTAAGTTCCATCAGGTATTTTGTTTTTATACCATAGAGGCACTCACATGTAGCTAAATCAATTAATAACAAAACACCAACCTTTTTCTTTGGTTGTGCTACTGCTCTTTGGAGAGCAACTTTTAGCCTTTCCTCCTGGTGTCTTTGTTTTTCTTTCATTTTCTCTTCACGCAACCTATGAAGAGGGGGAAAACATCCTTTTAACTATAAATCACAGAGAGTAAAAAAGACTGACATTACTATTTGCTAATGAACTTTTTAAATATTTTAAGACTTCATTTAAAGTTAAATGAAAACAGTACTTCATCTTTGCCCATAACCATAGCTTTTAACTATCAGACAAAATCTCAGCAAATCCTATTGGTGTTGGTGTTGAAATGGGAAGGAATTTCTTGTCAACATTTTGGAAGAAGTAAAATCTGCCTGGATGTTGCTCTAAGATAAACACCTCAGAAAAACTTTCTAACTCTTTACTTCTATTTCAGCACTTTACAGTTTGTACAATGACCACTTGAATTTCAACTTCGAGCTGCTCCTCGCCCCACTCCCCCAAAGTCCCCATATTGACATATAATCTACTGCAGGAAAGAACACAAATCACAAGTGTATAACTCAATGAATTACCACAAAAGTGGTATTTTCCAGTTAATATTTTTTAATGATATCTTCAAATTAAAACCAAGATATGCTATTTGTTTTGTTCTCGCTAGAGTTGTGAGATGATAGTTACATGAAATGCTCTATACAAACTGTTTATTCCAATACCTAGTATAGAATAGACACCTTAGTAATAACTTTTATGTGCCTATATAATGTATAACATTTTTTACGCAAGTTACAATATGTGTTATGTTCTAGATGCCTCCAAACTATGGGGAAAATCACCTAAAATTCTCTTTGATAAGAATGATAAATGAAGTTAGATTCTTGTTTTACTACTGAAAATAAGTTGTAGAATGTATTTCCTACTATAAAAAAGATGCCAAGTGCCGTTAATGTGATCAGTCATTGATCACCTTATGAAAGGAGTCTTTCATTTAGAATCTTGTTTTAATTTGCTTTACATTCAAATCTCATCAGGATCACCTTAATATATTAATACTGCACTTTATTTGGCAGAAAAAGTAGTCCCCTTTCACCAATAAGTACTAAGCAAGAACAAAATATCTAAGGTCAAACTATGTGCCAGGCATGCTTGAGTGCTTTTACATAGATTTAATCTTTACAACAACATTATGAGATAATTAGCATTAAAATAGCATTATTACTGCTATTTTACAGGTAAACTGAGAAAGGTTCTATGGTGTTATGGTCACAAAGATTGTAGATGGGTGGACCTGGACTGAACCCATGCATTTGGTTCTCATATCTATGCGTGTAGTCATAGCACCAGTTTGCCTCCCAGTATGCTCATTTGGCTATCACATGGACATTTTCCTACCTACAAGCATTTTCTACATGCCACATCATACTAGGGAGCATATATTTATAACCATCGCTGTCCTTGTAACAGGTACATAAAACCCTTGTTTAACTCAGTGTGGAAATCTGTAATTCAGTGCGTGATCCAGAGAGACCCCAGGCCAGGCAGGGACGTAGGGAAGGGGAAATTCAGGAATGTTGATCCTCATGACATTGTTTTGAGAAATGAATGGGTACATGTGTTGATGCTAAGTACGTAAGTGTTGGCAGGTTTGCACAGAGGAAAACCCTCAATGTATGACTTCCACTTTTAAACAGTTCCTTTATAGGTTGAGTAAGTTTTGGGCCTGTCCCCATAGGTACAGTTCTCCCACATGATAATACTTCAAACATTTTCATATAACTAGTGTCTTTACCCTGAAGATGCCCTTCTCTGAGCCAGAAGGACCCCCTGACCCATCACGTGCTATTCACCTCCTTCCTTTCCTTCACAATGTCATTGCCATGTAATGACACATTTATTTCATGAGTATCTCCCGCACTAAATAATAACTATGAGGAAGCCAGGGTTGGTGTGGTTCCTATATGGCAGACTCGCTCAGTGACTGTGGAATCCAACCAAAATTAATTACTAGTCTCATAAGCCACTCACGACACATATCAAAAGACAAGTGACTATACTTTTGTCGCCGTTCTTTGTGTTTTATTCTCTCGATTGCCTCCACATTTTCTTTGGGAATAGATTCGATGAGATCACTCAGTTCCACCAGGCGAGACTCTACTTTTACCAGCTTTTGAACTGGGTTGAGGCTGCCAACCTCAGCATCGCCAATGCAGATTCTGTATACTTGATTAATTTTTCTGCTAAGAGAATCTATCAGTTTTTCCTAAGTTGGGAAAGAAAAGGAGAGCAGAACACATAACATCTCATCATTCAATAAACGTGAACTCCCATTTAACCATAATATAATGAAAAGACTCCTATGCTACTCTTTCCTTTTTCTGAAGGAAAGCTTTAATACAGCAGAACAGTGAGAAAATGCAGTGATATTTATGTTGTAATTTATAGTCATATCATTACTACAGTAATACCTTTGATTATTTAAAAGTATGTTAGTCTAGGCATAAAAAGTAGCGCTAATAAAATAGAATTTGGTTTGAATGTTTTTGTACATTTGATTCCCTGGAAATTCTGGTAGAGGCAACATATACATTTTAAATCTGTTTTTGCCACTCCACTGCATTTCCTTGCAGCCACACATGTAAGGTCCCCATTTTTACACTTACTGTTCTAATTGCTAAAACCATAATAATCCTGTTTAATAGTTATTTGTATATATACCATCTCTCTCCCTGTAAACGGTAACTACCTGGAGGGCAGTAGATACTTCTTATGTTTACACATATATCTAAAACAGCGCCTTGCACCTGACTGTACACTTAGTAAATGTTTGCTGAATAAATGACTGAATGCATTCTCTCAGAGGAAAAAAAAAATAAAGGAAAAAGTTACAAGCAAACAGCTTCTGTCACTTGCTGGCCTACCAAAAGCTTCTTAAGAGTTTAATGTTTACTCTCTATTAGGAAGACATCACAGTGTAGTGTAAGCAGAGGTTCAGGCCAAACCTTGCTGGTCCCTGTACCTGGCTACTGCGCCGTTTTATCTGCTGGTGGTAATGCTGGAACTTGTTGATAATGTGTGTCGGGACCACAAGAAAATTCGCATCATTTGTCGCCAACTTATGCCATGCTTTCTCACTTGAGAGGATCTCAATAAACTTCCGGGCAAACTTAATCTCTTTCCAGGTAGCATTCTGCCCAAATGCCCGCTTCTGCTCAAGAAGATAGAATCACCATAAAACTAAGGACAAAGAACAGTCCAGCAGATGTGATTCCAGAAGTCCAGGGAACCCTCTTCTGGAACCACAGTCTCCTTACAGAGCCACCAACACTTCATGACAAGCCAAGACCTGTTTATTTCCAACAGCTTGTCTCCCACCTCCAAGGTTAACCTACTTTCTGGTGGTCCCATTTACTGTCTTGCCCACCCCCTAAAATTAACACCAGTCCCCTCCTTTATCCATGGCTTCACTTTCCCCAGTTTCATTTACCTGTGACCAACTGTGGTCTGAAAAAATGTTAGATGGAAAATTCCCAAAGCAGAGGATCCTCCTTCTGATGTGTAGTCAGGAGGTCCTAAGGTGCACCACAGTGCTGTGTGATTCAGCTCACTTCATCTCATCACGCAGACACCGCGCCTTCCCATCCCAAGGTGAGTACCGTATCATATTTTGAGAGCTTATCACAGTATATTGCTATCATTGTTCTATTTTACTAATCAGTGTTGTTAATCTCTTACTGTGTCTAATTTATAATTTAAACTTTATCATAAGTATGTACTTATAGGAAAAAAACTTAGTGTATATAGGATTCACTATTGTCTGCAGTCTCAGGCAAAACCACGCTCCTTTTAGAAAACTTTACAATAATGTAAAAAGGAAAGCTGAAAAGAGGAAAGCAAAAGTCCCGTGTGCCAGAAAATGTTCTCCCCTCCTCTCCAAATAACACTTACTGTGTTTCCTATTTGTATTAACAACACAATCCTTTTAGAAAACTTTAGGAATAAAAAAAAAATATGGAAGGCAAAACAGTAAAAGGAATCAATCCAGGGGCTGAAATGTACATTGGATTATGAAAAAACAATAGTGCTACAATTTGAGACATTGAAAAAATATACCAGACACTGGTTCTGAGAAAAAGCCACTTTGCTATGTGATTGATGGCAATTTCTGAAAGAGCTTCCTGAACAGTAGGGAGAGATTCAGAGATGAATGGGCAGTGGGCTTTCAGGGTTTATTTCAGGATGTCATCTTTCCTTTTGTTTGTTCAAGTTCCCCCCAGTCCAACAGGATTGGAAAAGACAAAGAAGATTTTTTTTTAAGACAGCAGGGTAATAACAGCATAAGAAATAGGACTGGAAATAAGGCTAAGGAAAATGATCATGTATGAGAAAAAAATTGAAGGCCTGGCCTAACAGCCCAGGCACAGAGACACAGCCCAAGGCGGAGACTGCCGCTGACCAACCGTGTCAGTGCAGTCCCTAGAGCTGCCACCAGGTGGCAGGCCCAGTCCAGGGCACCTCCAAGTTGCTGCCCAGAGTCTGCAGGGAATGGGAGGAAGGCAGGCTGCTTCTCCCAACAATATTGTAGAAAACTGAATACAAGGATAAGGACTTTGGATGCCTTCCAACAGTGAGTGGGAAGGGATCTGATTAGAGCAATGTTTATGAGGAACAACTATGCCAAAACTGAACAGGGGAGGGGATACAGTTTAGATGTCATTTCAATTCCTTTCCAACTAGAAGACTAATTCTAATCCATGTCACATTCTGCTGTGTGCTGGCTGTAAACAACTCTCCCAATTGAACTGGATCAAGTCCCTGTGTGAAAGAACAGTAAAACCAGAGGTGATTACATTCTGCAAATCAAATAATGGAATAGCTTATATTCCATTTCATGGTCAGTGACAAGGAACAAATAGCTAACTGCTGTACAAAACATGGGTGATCTCACAAAGAAAGTGTTGAGAGAAGGATGCCAGGCAAGCCAGATATATTACCTGATTCCGTTGATTTAAGGTTCAAAAGTATGAGAACTAATTGGCACTGGAGAAGTCAGGGTAGCCGTCACCTCTAAGGGGCTGCAGCTACAGGAAGAGGCATGGGGAAGGCTTCTGGGGGTGCAGATAAGATAGAGCACCTCACCTAAGGGATGTGTGGGCTTGTTAACTTTGAAGACGTTTTCTTGATGCACCTTTGGTTCATGCGCTGTCAATGATACATCATGCTTGAACTTAAATTTTCATTTTAAGACAAATATTGAGTCAAGAAAAATGTTGTTAGGGGATTTAGTGTAGTGAGAAGTGTGGAAGTTCTGAAAGAATAAAATATTCATTATGCAGTGATTATAGCTCCTAATTAACTGATAACTTATGGTTATCAAAATTATGTGCAACCATATTTACTTACTCATGAAAAATTATGGTGTGCACCCTTTGAGATCTGAAAGAATGGGAGTAAGGAAGCTGTAAAATATTTCCCCCTACCAGTTTTCCTGCTCTGGTCCCCTTCTCCACCCTAGCATCTCACTTCTCTAGGAGATACTAAGAATTACTGGCCTCAACACAGATGTACAACACATGGGTGCCAAAATTATACTTGTAACCCAAATATCAAAATAATTTTCAGGTCAACTCTGCCTTCTCTGCTTATGGATCTGTGTGCCTCAATTTTTTTTTTTTTAAGATTTATTGATTTATTTATACAAGCACTGGGTACAGTCAGAAGTGCGGGAGGGTGAGAGAATTCACCAGAGCCAGAATGGGGAGCAGAATAGGCAGACTGACAAAGTACACTGCTGAGGGAAGCAGCGGGCATGGCAGGAGAGGTCTGTCATGCCATGGCTGCGGGCAGCTTTGCAGCCCAGCGCTCAACTGCTGTGCCACCAGGGGAGGCCCTGTGTGCCTCAATTTTAAGAGTATTGAAAGTGCCCTTTTTTCATAGTGACCCTAAACTTGGATGAAAGGATCTTGGGAAAGTAACCACTGATATTTATTTGAAATTTTTGGTGTCAATCAACTTCAGAATTATTTAAAACAGAATTGAGAAGTGGAAACAACCTGTGTAATCAACAGAAAAGAGAGAAACAAGATGTGGAATATAAATACAATGGAATATTATTCAGCCATAAGAAGAAATGAAATCTGACACATGCTACCACCTGTATGAATCTGGAAAATATTAAGTGTCAAATTATGCTAAATGCAAAACACAAGGACAACTCTTGAATAATTCCATTTATGTGAGGCAGCTAAAACAGACATTTACAGACACAGGAAGTAGAAGAGAGGTTTACAAAGGCAGGGAAAATGGAAGATTGGGGGATTATTTAATGGGTACAAAGTTTCTATTTGGGATAATTAAAAATTCTAGAAATAGGGGCGATATCACACTATGTTGTGATTATACTTAATGTTACTGATTATATGCCTGAAATGGTGAAATGGTAAATTTGTATGTTTCCCAACAATTAAAAAACTGGTATAAGAAAAACTCAGCATCAAAGAACAGAAAGATGACTAGCACTTGTTTCTTGCTCTTCATGCATAACCCCAGCCCCTCTGAACTCAGGGTGCTTACACCCTGAGTGTGTGTGAGTGTGAGTGTGTGAAGGAGGCATGAATGCACAGTTTTGTTTTATATAACTGCCCACCTTGAGTCGGGTAGGGCAATCATATTCTTCTTCTAAGCTTCTCTCAATTCTACCTCTGATTGAAAGTCAAGTTCATGACCATAAATGTGGTAGTAGCTTCACATACTAGAATTTTTTTTCATTTGAGATTTTTTTTTACAAAGAAACCAATGTTAGCTGGAGCTTGTTGTGGGTCTAGAAGCTAACCTAATCATTCATTCAACAAACATTTATTGAATACCTACTTCATGGGGATACTACACTTAGCTCACTAGGGTAACACAGTCTCTGCCTTGAGGGGTTTGCCTCCAACTGGAAGAGAAACATGTAGAGATACACGTGTGCTCTGAGAATGCATCTGTGAGGCCCCAAGCGGCTAACACCTATGACAAGCCTCTTGTGGGGCAGCGGTCTTGGCCACAAGGCAGTGAGCTTCATATCTACACACTCTGACTAAAGAAATGTGTTTGTAAGAGGAAAATCTCAACACATGTTGTGATAATTAGCGCAACATTTCAAGAGAAGGCCAGTGCCTGGGTGCATGCTCTCTGTTGGCTATATCAGCTGACTGTCACAGCCTGACAAGGTCATTTCAACCTGGGCTTCTCTACCTCTTTCTGGTTTGCTGTAATTCCCCCCATTGCAAGGCTTAGGGCACAGAGAATGCAAATTATTATCATCATGAACCAGAGGAAAATGACCACAGACAATGAATGATTACCTGAGCATCTGAGTTAAATTGTCCAAAACTAAACAGTCTGGACCTTAATTCCAATTCTGCCGCTTTTTCCTCTTCTCTCACACAGCTCTCCTTAAGCATGTTCTTATGCTCCAGGAGAAAATCTATGTTGCTATTTCTATTGCAAAAGGAGAAGGAGACATTGTATTTGTGGTTTAGTGAAACCAAGCATCAAACACTTCCCTACTCTTGCCAGATATACATCACCAGTCTATACTTTCAATAAGCCAAATACCAGCCAAATAGCAAAGTACATGCAACTTCTGGAGTGAAAGGAGAAAAAGAAATGCTGTTTTTAACTTTCACCTGGCAGCGTTTGCTTCCCCACAAGTCCTCCCAATGGAGAGCAGCAGAGCTGAGGTGTTGGGAACCTAAGTTGTGGCCGAGCTAGTGTTCCCGAACCTGGCTGATAATCAGAATATCAGGGGACCCCCCAGGGGAAAAAGAGAGACTCCTGGCTCCTTCACCTAAAGATCCTGATGTGTGTCTTCTGACACAGATGCCCTTTTCCTGGCCCAACCAGACCCACCTGTTCCCAAAGTCATGCAGTCAGGGGTGGGGCGTCATGTAGTCTGAGGATTGGGAGAGAGGAGACATGGACTGAAAAGTACCTGGGAGTCGAGGTGGGTGGCTGTGAAGCCATGATGTTTAACTCCTGAATGAGTTAATTTCTTCCAAAGCTCATTGTAGTTTGTTTTTTTAAAGATTTATTTATTTATGCATACAAGAGCTGGGGTACAGGCCAGAGATGCAGGGGGTGAGAGGATTCACCAGAGACAGAGTGGGGAACAGAACAGGCAGACTGACCGAAGTACACTGCTGAGGGGAGCAGTGGGCGAGATAGGAGAGGTCTGCTGTGCCATGGGGGTAGCTCCCTGGCTGGCCCAGGGATCGAACTAGTGCTGCAGAGGCTATGGATTGCTTCATAGTGTGGTGCTTAACCCCTTGCATCACCAAGGAGGCCCTTCATTGTACTTTGATCTACTGTTTAAAACGATTGTCATCTCTGGCCCAAAAATCTGTTCCAAAAGGGTTGTATGCATTTTTATCAGGGTAGCTACAAAGACGTATTCAACTCAAAGCTCTTTTTAAAAAATTGTAATAACAAAATTTTAGAGTGGAAAGAAATTTTATAAGTCATCAAATCCTTCCCTCAACAGAGATCCCTTTTATAATAATCCTGATTATATTGATGTATACATTATAAAATGATACATTTAAGTTAAAAATAAGCTGTTTTTCTGAGAGTTATAGCCGAGGAAAAATGCACATATTAGCTTATCATCCAAAGCAAGATGTGATTAGCCTAACGGGTGAAAACTGCATTGAACAAAAATTAAGGCATCTTAATTTCTTTTCCTCTTTTAAACTATCTTTAATTATTGCTTGCTAGGAATATTTTTTGACAAGTGTAGGGAAATATGGACAAAAATTAAAGTCAGTCTATTTTGTGTCAATGTAGCTTCAATATCTTGCAATGTAAACTTATTAAAAATCCACCCCAAATGCAAAGACACCACGAGGAAGGGCACCCATGAAGGAGGTAGATTCTGTGTCTATTTAGAAATTGCTTCATAGAATAAATCCCCTTGTTTTCAATGACTTACATTTTGTCATGTATAAGTTTTTCCCTTTTATTTATATCTTCAAGGTTCTCATCGACATCTTGGGAATACTGTACCAACGTAAGATTTTGCTCTTCCAGCTCGTTGAGGACTTGAAGTAACTCTTCTGGTTCTTTAAAATAAAGCTCTGGCTCCTACTCAAGCAATAACAAGGAATAGAACATATCAGACAGCTGACGCAAAGGTAGGTTTCCGACGCATATGCAACGCATTTAGAAAAATACAGTGAGAGAATTGTGGGTATGTCGTTATGAGGAGGATTGTGGTTGTGAGGGAGAGATGGGCAGGGGAGTCCATTTGCACATGAGAGGTGGTCCTCTGGGATAGGACATTTCGGATATTGGGAGATAGACAGTAGTGAAAAAAGGGAAGGTAGAATGAAGAGTGGAAGGCAGGGATACAAAGTGGAGGGATGCAGCAGAAGAGGAGGCAAGGGCAGAACAAAGGAAAGGTGGGACTAGGAAGGCAAGCAAGGCAGAAGAAATAGAAGAAAGAAAAACTCAGGAGGCTAAGTGAAAGTCATTTTCTCCCCATATTTTATTAGATATCTTCCAAAATTATATAAACAACTACACACTACTTTAAAGGCATTTAAAATTTAAAAAGATGCCTTGGGTACCTGCACACCCATGTTCATCCTATTTACTATAGCCAAGAACTGGAAGCAACTGCATGTCCAGTGATTGATGAATGGATGAGGAGATGTGATGGGACAGTGCAGTCTTCAAAAGCATGGGACAGCAGATGGGACAACATAGATGGACCTGGATGATTTTAGGCTAACTGAAATAAGCAGGTTACAAAAAGACACCTACTTCATGATTCCACTTGTATGCAGTTCCTAAGGCAATCAGACCCTTAGGAAATGAACCAGCGGTTGCCAGGGGTTGGGGTCAGGAGCGGTGATCAGGGTGTTTGCTGGGGAGAGTCTTGGTTTTGCAACATGAAAAAGTTCTAGAGCTCTGTCCCACACAGCGTGTATGTCATTAACACTACTGTGCTGTATGCTTAAAAATGGTCAGGAGGGTAAATTTTATGTTTTTTTTTTTTTTTTTAAAGATTTATTTATTTATTTATACAAGCACTGGGCACAGTCAGAAGCACGGGAGGGTGAGAGAATTCACCAGAGCCAGAGGGGAGAGCAGAGCAGGCAGACTGATGAAGTACACTGCTGAGGGGAGCAGCGGGCGGCAGGAGAGGTCTGCGCGCCATGTGGGACCCTCTCCCTGCGGCCGGGGATCGAACCGGCGCTGCAGAGGCTGCGGGCAGCTTCACAAACCAGCACTCAACCACTGCGCCACCAGGGAGGCCCTATGTTTTGTTTTTTAATACAATAAAAAAGAAAGGTGACTCGGGTAACATGTGTTATATTAACAACAGAGGGTGTTTTTTGTTTTCCCTTGGGTGTTCCTGTGGCTATATTTAGAGCAGGGTTAGGTCTATAGCAGCCAGGTAGCAAAAAAGGGCTCTTTTATCGTAGGTCGACTTACCTGACAGCTACCCAATCTATCTGGAACCCAGTGAAATGACCAGCACTCGGAAAGTGGCTTTTGTGCAAGAAGACTTTAGGTGATATATGTCCCCTAAATTATTACTTTCTGATAGACATTCAGTTTTCATAAAATAGCTGATGAAGAAGATGAACTATATATGCAACCAGGGGGCTGTATCAACATATTTCCTTCTGGAAAGTGGTGGGATACTTGCAATAGGAAATTTTTTTCCCATTTGCAATAGGATATTATTTTCACCAAACACAGTATTTAAATCAAGAAATGTAATCTGTTTACCAGATCATAGTCTATATCACCATCTAGAAAGAAATCGAAACTGTCTTCTGAACTGATGCTTTCAGCTTGACTGTAAAAGAAAAGGGAAAATTCTGAATTCTGAGCATTTTCTGTCAATACATTCCTTTCCTGAATTGTCTTTGGAAACTAATTGTGGTGTAATGCTATTCCATAGCCTGTTCAGCTTTTCAGGGAATGGCTGGTTGCAGAAATCAATGGATTCCACACAAAAGAAAATCAGGTTTAGTCCCAGACTTTTATAAAGAAACACAATTCTGGGTGAGGTAGTGAAATTGCAAACATAGGGGCCACCAGAATAGCTTAAACAATTGGACAGTGGATCCTGAGGCAAAGATCCAAGATGCAGGGGCAGGCAGTCTGTGCAAACAAGAGCTGCAGGCACTCATTAACGAATTCAGGGGACCCTGGAGACCTGGGCCACCTGAGGGACAGGTGACCTGTTTGCAGAAATGGCAACCACCCCTCCAGCATCCCCGTCAGTGGGTGGCTATGTGACATTTATCAATATATTGAAGCAAAGCTGAAAGAGACATCTTTAACCATTCAGATTTTCAAGAGCATGAATCAAGTTTGTACTGTACTTGGAGATCGATCTCTTATGCTCTGAGGAGAGATTTCTTATGGTCTTCTGTTGTTTCCCTGTTCAAAACATCCAGGTGAAGTCCATGCATCATGAAGGTGGAGGTGGAAAGAAATAACATATCATTAGAAACAACTCTTTGTGGGACTCCTCGGTGGCACAGCGGGTTGAGCGCCGCACTGTGAAGCTGTCCGCAGCCTCCACAGCACCGGTTCAATTCCCGGCTGGCCAGGGAGATTCCCACATGGTGAGGCAAACCTCTCCTGTCTCACCCGCTGCTCCCCTCAGCAGTGTATTTCAGTCAATCTGCCTGTTCTGTTCCCCACTCTGTCTCTGGTGAATCCTCTCACCCTCCCGCGACTCTGGCCTGTACCCCAGCTCTTGTATAAATAAAAATAAATCTTAAAAAAAAAAAAGAAACAACTCTTTGTTATGTTTGGTGTAAGATCGTCACTTCTCTGCCTGGATATGCCCATTCCTTCTTTAGCAGCTACTATTAGTGATGATCAATAGGAAATAGATCTCTTTTTTCCTACTGAGCTAGATTCCAACCATAAGAAGAAAAACAAGTTATGGTGAAGGGGGGTGGGGGTGGCTGTCAGCTATCACAAGTCACAGACTGAGGACACATATGTGAAATATGTCACAATTCACTTTTTACCTAAACATCTACTTTTCTCATCACTGATTTTTTTTCACCAAAGGAAAACATAAAAATGCACATGTCGGGCCTCCCCGGTGGCGCAGTGGTTGAGCGTTGGGTTGCAAAGCTGCCCACAGCCTCTGCAGCGCCAGTTCGATCCCCAGCTGCTGGTGAGGGTCCCACATGGCGCGCAGACCTCTCCTGCCGCCCGCTGCTCCCCTCAGCAGTGTACTTCGGTCCTTCTGCCTGCTCTGCTCCCCGCTCTGGCTCTGGTGAATTCTCTCACCCTCCCGTGCTTCTGACTGTACCCAGTGCTTGTATAAATAAATAAATCTTAAAAAAAAGAAAAGAAGAGGAAAAGTAAAAAATAAAAAAAAAAAATGCACATCAATCATTCCATCTTACACAGGGCTTACTATCTTCTAAGGCCACATACAAATCTCGCACGATTTCCCCGCACACCTACATTACGTTCCTCCCACACCAGTGTCTGGTCCTGATCCTGATCTGAAACTAAGAAGTGGGCAAAATGGTCTTGGGTTTCTTCTTCCACTGGCCCCCAGATTCCCCAGGTCATATATCCTCATGCTGGCATTTTTGTGACTTCTAACCCCTCTGCCTGCTGTGATCTGTCTGGAAACCACAGCAGGCCTTGCTCTCCCCACCCTGTCTCCACCTTAGTGCCTATTTGTTCTTCAAAGTCCAATTCAATTGTGGTCTCATCTGGCAGACTCTTCTAAATGCCCTCAGGTAGAGATCTTTTTTTTTGTTTTGGCTTTTGCTTCCAGAGCCCCCAACCATCTATCACTACTCTTCACTGGTGCCGCTGTGTTAGTTTTTTTTTTTTCCCACTTTTTTTTTTTTAAGATTTATTTATTTATTTATACAAGCACTGGGTACAGTCAGAAGTGCGGGGCGGTGAGAGAATTCACCAGAGCCAGAGCGGGAACAGAACAGGCACACCATTGAAATACACTGCTGAGGGGAGCAGCGGGTGGCAGGAGAGGTCTGCGTGCCATGTGGGACCCTCGCCCGGTGGCCGGGGATTGAACCAGTGCTGCAGAGGCTGCAGGCAGCTTCGCAGGCCAGCGCTGAACTGCTGCGCCACCGGGTTGTTAGTTTTTAAGCTGATACCCAAACACACTGCGGCATGAGTTTGATCCCCAGCCAGGGAGCTACCCACATGGCACAGCAGACCTCGCCTGTCTCACCTGCTGCTCCTCTCAGCCGTGTATTTCAGTACATATGCCTGTTTCACTCCCTGCTCTGTCACTGGTGAGGCCTCTCACTCCCCACACGTCTGGCCTACACCCCAGTTTTTGTATGCATGAATGAATACAAATAAATCTTAAAAAACAAATACATCTGACTGTTGGTAGCAGGGCAAAGGAGGAGAAATTGTTACCCAAAACCAGCCTGCATTTGCCGTGACAAACTAAATGCCAGCAGGGCAGGTGCTGCAGAAGGAGCTCTGAATTGGTTGTGAATTTTCCCATTTACTCCCTTGTGCCCAATGGCAGTCACTGGGTTGCAAGTGACCCGGTTTGCTGGGTCATGGAATGGACCAGAAGCTGAAGAGTTAGATGAGCTGGTGAGGCAGGACCTCGGTGAGTGTCCTGGTCAGTCAGAGACCCCTTCTGCCCTGGCTCCTCTTCCTGTTCCGTCCACCCATCTACTCTCCCAGTTCATGAACAGTACTCCTTGCTCTCCAGGACTAGGGTGATGTGGGCATCACCCTCCATGTCCTGCTCAGCACCCGGGTCCTGAACTTCCACTCTGATATCAGCACCTGCTCTTGTTTCACTTTCATGAGTGAAGTCCCCATCTCTGGTGTTACCTCCTTGGCTGCTGCTTCCCACTGCAGAGTCTTCTGTAAGCGATGTCTTCATGATACCTTCATGGCTCTCTTTCATCTTTGCACTTGTTTCTAGAAATGAAAAATAAGGAGGGGTAGGAGGTGGAAAGACACTCCTGAGAACTTTATCTCACTGTGCAGGTAGTTACTGTGGCAACCTCCAAGGCCACCATATGATATGGGGACATGGAGCCAGCAGCTGGCTGGGGCTGCTCTCTGGGGTGGGCAGGATGGAGGAGAACGCACCTGTGGGGCATGAGGAGTTCCCTTCCCACACCTGTCTGTCATAGGGCCTACCACCCCCTCCCGAGCCCTGCACGGCTCCTGTGGATGGAGACACTGGTTTCTGAGCACCCTTGATTTAGATGACTCATCTGGGAGGACTGATCTTAAACTGTGAAAGGCAAGTATTTCTGTTTTCCTTTCCATTTGCTCTCTCTCTTGTCAAACCCCAGGTATTGAGATTAGCCAAGTGTCATCACTGTGCTCACTGCTTTACACACAGATGGAATTCAGTCTCACCCAGCACAGCGAGACACAAGGAAACTGGGTCAGGTTGTCAGCCATGGCAGGTGGTGCACGGTTAGCAACAAGTTCTCTGGGAAAACATTCTCTCTGACTTGGAGTTTTCCAATTTCTATGGTGTAAATGCTTTTACCCTGGAGGATCAGGATCAGTTCTCAGCCGAAGACTGCACATCTCCATGATGTCTCTATGTTGTTCCAGGAAACCAAGCAGCTAGTCTCCCTGGACCTGGGGTCTGATGGTCTCACCTCTACCCTGACCCTACTCTCTTCCTGAAGTTCTATTCTGGGGCTCATCTATTTGCTCCCCTCACTAAGGGGTGACTTCACTTCACTTGATATCTAATGTCTGGAAACTTGCTCCATAGAGTTTCCAGGCAAGAGGGCAAGTCTGGTCCTTGTTACCCTAATATTGTTGGAAGTGGAAGTCTTCCCTTTTGATTTGTGACCCAACATTGGTCATTTATTTAATCTATTTCTGGTCCACTGAGCTAACTTCGTAATGCCAGTTCCCCATCGTTTCAATTTCTGATACTCTGTGATAATATATTCCACAATGTCTTAAATAATTATAACACCCTCCTATGACCTCCTCATTTCAGAAGTATTTGCTTATATTTCTTTTTTTTTAATTTTTTTTTTAATTTTTTTTATTTATTTCTTTTTTTTTTTTTGCTTATATTTCTAAATGAGCCTCAAAACCATTGTACAGAGTTCTCCCCAAAACAACACCCAATTCCCTGGCGACGTTTGGTAACATTTTTTTAATTGTAATTTTATAAAACTTATAAATTCAGTTCCAGAAAAATTGGCAGCATTACAATACCAAGCTCTCCTATCTAAAAAGAGGACATATTTCTGTTTTTTTCTTGTGATTGGTTTTGACTTTTTTTGGGGGATGAGGTGTTATATACATTATCCCATGCCATTCTTTTATTTATAATTTATTTTTTTATTTATATCTTTTTTAAAAAGATTTTATTTATTTATACAAGCACTGGGTACAGTCAGAAGCGCAGGAAGGTGAGAGAATTCACCAGAGCCAGAGCGGGGAGCAGAACAGACGAAATATACTGCTGAGGGGAGCAGCAGGGGCGGCAGGAGAGATCTGGGCACAGTGTGGGACCCTCGCCCGGCAGTCGGGGATCGAACCGGCGCTGCGGAGGCTACGGGCAGCTTCGCAGACCAGAGCTCAACCGCTGCGCCACCAGGGAGGCCCTATTTATGTCTTTTACATCATTGTGTATTCCCTGTAAAATTCCCACCACCAGTTCACCCATGAACCTTCACCATAGTCCCTTGTGCTTCTCTCTCTCTTGTTTTGATCCCTATTTCTCCCCCTCGCTCACATAATGTCTCTTATTTATGGTTGCCTGCTAGATGATGACGATGATGATGATGATGATGATGATGATGATGATGATGATGGTTATTATGTTTTCCTTGATCCCTTATTTAATTCCCCTGTATTCTTCCTATAAGTGAAGCCATTCAATATTTTTCCTTTTTCTTCTGGCTTATTTCACTGAGCATGATCCCTTCTAGCTCTGTCCATGTTGCTGGGAATAGCATGAGTTTATTTTTTGATTGCTGAATAGTATTCCATTGTGTATATGTATATTTTTGGGCATTTGTGTTGTTTCCATATCTTACCTATTGTAAATAGTGCTGCAATAAACATAAGGGTGCAGTTATCTTTTTGAATGTTAATGTTTTTGTGTCCTTTGGGTAGATTCCTAGGTGTGGAATTGCTGTGTCATATGGTAGCTCCATTTTTAGTAGTTTGAGGAACCTCCACAAAGCTTTCCATAGTGGTTGGTCCCACCAGCAGTGTAGGAGAGCTCCTTTTTCCGCTACATCCTTGCCAACATTTGTTGATTCTTGCTTTTTTAATGTGCCATTCTCACTGGTGTAAGATGGTATCTCACTGGTTTTGATTTGCATTTCCCTGATGACAAGTGATGTTGAACATTTTTGCATATGCCTGTTGGCCATTTGCATTTCCTCTTTAGAGAAATGTCTTTTTAGCTCTTCTGCCCATTTTTTGACTAGATTTACTTTGTTTTTGTTGAGTCTTGAGCTCTTTGTAGATTTTTGTGATCAGTCCCTTATCAGTTGTATTGTGTGCAAAAATTTTCTCCCAATCAGTGGGGTGTCTCTTTGTTTCGGTTACTGTCTCTTTTGCTGTACAGAATCTTTTTAGTGTGATGTAATCTCAGTTGTTTATTTTTTCCTTCACTTTGTTTGCTTTGGGGGAATGTGTCTTTAAAAATGTTACTGAGATGTATGTCATAGAGTGTTTTACCTATATTTTCTTCTATATATTTTATGGTTTCAGGTCTTACATTCAGGTCTTTTATCCATTTTGACATATTTCTGTTTTTGTCAGATTTACAGGTCACACAATTAAGGTTATTATTTATTGCTTCCTTGGATTTAATTTCTTTGCATATTTTCTAATTAATAAAGTTAGTTTATTTAGGTTAACACATTAGGTTAATAAACTATGATACACTTTGTATCTATTTACTCTCTAGAACCCATTAATAAAATCAAATCATTTGGGGGGTTTTTAGGAAGGGTTTTCCAAGTATGCTAGCACATCATCTACAAGTAATACATTTTCTATTTCTCCAATACCTTTATTGCTTTATCTCTGAAATTAACCTGGGTTTCCAAATTGATATGTCATGTCAGAGATAGTTTTGTGTAAAATAGAAAATATGACTATTTAACTGAAATCAAGAATACGTAACTTACTTGGTCTTTTGGAAAGGATGACGTTCATGTTTTCTTTATTTTTGGATGCCTGTGCCCTTTTCAGAGCTTGCTGGAGTTGCCAATGTTTTGGAGACAATTTCAGCAGAAAACGCCCATATTTCATATATTCTTTAAGGAGGAATTCTGTCTTTGTTATTTCACTACTCAAGAAAAAAAAGGGTGTGATTAGATATATCTGTGTGAAAGATGCTGCTTCTCTAGTCTAGAAACAGAAAAGACTTAAACTACATTAGAAAAGGAGGGAGGCAAGGGAATTCTCCATCTCAACTGCCTTTAACTTTAGGTTCCTGAAAATACAAGAATCTGCCACTGCCAGACTGCTTGAAATGCGCATTTTCTTAATAGCAATTGGTTTCTTTGAAAGTATCATCCAATCCCTTTGATGCATTTTAGATGATTTTTCTCCTCCCAAGGCAATCTAGGATGTTAAGTCTAGGACTTGGTTTTAGAGAGGGGGTAAACTTCAAGTCTTGAAAAAGATAAAATAAGTTTAACAATGAATTGCTACCCAGACCACAGTATTGTGGATCATGAATGTTTCCAAGGGTAATAGCAGAAGGAAGTATCTTCAGACAGACATTTACAATTAGTTCAAGTGAGATGCATTTGGCCGTGGAACAGAACAGCCAGGCTTGGGGGCAGGGGGAGCGGAAAGTGGTGGGTAGTACAATAATTTTATCTGAATTCCTGCTCCTGTTATGTTGTTAATATAAAGCCCCATTTTTAATACCAATGTTAGGTTCAACTAAGTGCAAAGTGTAAGTATAAAAAATACCGCTGATTATAATTTTAAGAAGATTGTAAAATGAATCCCAGTTCCAGCGATGTTAAAATGTGGGATAGAAATGTGCCTTAGAAGGAATGGAGAGGGGCACTTAGAAAATGAGTTATGGTTTTCTTGCACACTGATTTGCTTCTTTTCAGCTAATTCCTTGCTTCTCTATGAACAAGCAAAAGGGCTGTTTAACCAGAGGTCACCGTACTGTCTGTCCTGCTAGGCAGAAATGACCCTTGATTGGCGGGTTACTGATTTTTAAAGTGCTGTCATAGTTAAGAAATCATCAAATGATAAGGATTATTCTCACTTGGGCCTTCTGGGCACAGACAGGTTTCAAGGGGGCACCGACATGCACTAAGGAGACCACAGTGCCTAGCCTCACCTCTTCACCGCCTGCACCTCCATGCTCGCCTTCTTCAGCTCCGCTGTGACCTGGAGTTTGTTTATAGTTTCCTGTGCTGCACTGAAAAGTAAGAGATTTGTTCATTTGTCTAATGTTGTTTTCTGTCCTGCGAAACTAAAAAGAAGAAAGAGGGAGGGAGGAAGTGATTTCACCAGATTGTAAAAAAACAAAACAAAACAAAACAAAAAAAACGAACATTTTAAGGGCATCTGCAGATCTCTGATCATTTTCTCGAAGGAACTCTTCAAAAGCTATTGAATCTTCCTGGAGCTTTTTTTCTGCTTTCATGAGCTGCCTTTCCTTCAATGCTATGAGTTTTTCAAACTTCATAATTTTATTTCTTTTGGTTGACAAAGCATACTAGGAGTATTGGAAACAGAAGTACAGCGGAAGAGTTAGTTAGTCCACATTCCCAGCAACCTTCCAGCAATTTCATAATAAAGGGGGGCATGACTTGCATGGCTAGTGATTGTGTTAGAAGTCACAGGACCCCCAAATCTCGGGCCTCTGGTTTTTTTTTTTTTTGAGTCTCCCAGTGAACAATTATGGTATATATCTCTGTTTATTTAAGACTTCTTTTTCTCAGTAATACTTTGTCGTTTTCAGCGTACACCCCTTGAACACGTATTTCACATCCTCAGTGCTGTGTGGTACATGGCAATGCTTACGAATTTCAATTTCTTATCCTTTATTGCAAGTTTATAAAAACACAATCGTTTTTGTAAAGGAACATTTGGGAACAAGGGAGAAACTGGGACCAACCATGCTTTAGAATAGTTTCCTGAAGAAGTTAAGGGAAATACTACAGAGCCCTGTCTGACATACTAGAATGTAAGCTCTCTGAGGGCAGGGTCTTTGATTTGTTCACTGCTTGGCACATAATAAGCACTCAAGAAATATTTCTCAAATGAATAAACCAGTATGTTCAGGCAAGAGATTTGGGCATGTCATGGGAAAATAAGATGTAAAGGTAAATATTTGGCAATACGATGCAAGAAGTCTTCTATTTGGCTAATGGGAGAAAGAAAATTATTCTTATTACCTCAAGCAGAAACCTGTCTCTTTGGTCATTAATAAATTCATGGACAGTCCTTTTTGAATCTGAACCTTTAAAAAAAGTTGAAACAAAATCAGGCTTAGTTCATTTTCCCTCAAAAGTGCTATATAAAATAAATATGTAATTAAATTACTGCATATATGTCTGGATATTTATTTATTTATTAAAGATTTATTTATTTATTTATACAAGCACTGGGTACAGTCAGAAGCGCGGGAGGGTGAGAGAATCCACCAGAGCCAGAGCAGGGAAGAGAACAGGCAGAAATATACTGCTGAGGGCATAAGATTCTTAAGTCTGTGCTAAGTGAGACTGAACTGCTTTAAATCTTAATGTTTTGACTGCCTACAGGTAAAACTAAAGACCTTAGGCTGAACTGTTTGGGGATCACGAATGAAACTTAGGGCAGAAAAGAAAAAGATGACAGCTAGCTTTGACCGCTGGCAATAGAACAAAGTGGTCCTTTAAGATTTCTTCACTTGGGAAAAATCATACATATGCTGCATCTCAATAATGCTCACTTGGTAAAAAACCAACAGAATGTGGTGCAGAATAAAATGTCTGAATAAAAATGTACACAGAATTAGAAGTGAAATAGCATCTCTCAGCTGACCAGCAAGTCTACGTTGCCCTGGGAAGCCCATAGTTGCCCAGGAACTGTAATTTGCCTCCACCTCTCACTAGCTGTGGGGACATGAGCTAATTCCATAGCCTCTCCAAACCTCAGTTTCCTCATCTGTAAAGTGAAGATACTGACTGGGGGAGATTATATTCTAGTTCCCAAATATCTGCTGTCCTTCTCTGGGAAAAGATGTCCCAGCCCCTCTCCCCCATTAGTATCAGACTCGACAATTGATCTGGTTTGGCCTGGAGGTGACCTGTGATTTGTATTACTTCCAAGCAGTTTTAAGACCCACTACCCAGTTCTCTTTCTGCTATAACACTGGCAACATCCCAGGGAGTGGGCTGTTTCTTCATTGCAGGATTCAAATGAAAAGCACAAAAGTTGAATAGTGAGCAAGAGGTAAATCGCTCTTGTTGTAAGCCACTGAAGTTTAGGAGTGGTTTATCATCACAGCATAAATTAGCCTAAGTGGGTCATTAATTGTTAGCTATTATTATTTTATTTTTAATTTTTTAAAAGATTTATTTATGCATACAAGAACTGGGGTGTAGATCAGAGGCACGGGGACGGGGTGGGGGGAGTGAGAGGATCCACCAGAAAGAGAGGGGAGCAGAACAGGAGGATCTGCTGAAATACACTGCTGAGGGGAGCAGCGGGCGAGACAGGAGAGGTCTGCTGCACCATGTGGGTCAGCTCCCAGGAGAACTGGGGGTTGAACACATGCTGCAGTCTTGATAGTGCTGTGTCTTTAACCTCTGCACCACCAGGGAGGCCCCTATTATTATTTTAGAAGTATCTTGGGAATGAGTAACCTCTTAATTCTCTGAGGTCAATAATAATGGCCATAATGAAGATTATGATATTTAATAATATACTTCTAATCTTTAATAATATTTTAATAATAATATAATTATTAATAATATAATTTAATAAATAAACTGGACATGACTCAGAGGTACAGTAATTTAGACTTACCTTCTGTTAATCTGAGAATAAGAGCGGGATCTAGCCCATATTTGTCAAATGAAACTCCACCTTTGTCAGAGTAGAATGAGAGTTGGCTCAGGTGTGAACGACTCTTCATTCGGGATGAGAAAGTGGACTTTTGGTGGACTTTCATGCTGCGGTTTATAAACTTCTCCTGCCCAGGTGGAAAAGTGTAAGAGAATTTCTAAGATGCCAAAATAATGTTTTCTTAATATCACAACCAGGTAGTAACATCATTTGCAGCAAATCTTTTTTCTCATTAATCATTCATTAAACAACCAACCTCAAGTTCTTATCTTGGAAGAAGTGTGTCTTAGGTTTCATTTCTTTATCATATGAAGCTGATTTATACAAATATAAAAACATTCAACTTTTACCATACATGTCCATCACTAAGAGACCAGAAAATGTCACCCTGGCTTTTCCCCACGATCACATGTTACCCAAAGTGCAGATAACTTGGAAATTCCACTGACAGAGAAGGATTGTTTCTGTGGAGTTGAAAACTTGAAATGGACCTCCCTAGGATACATTAAAAACTGAGACTTCTGATTTTGTGACTCTTTTCTCAATTCAGTTTTGGACACTTTCAATAAAACCAAAGACCATGTGCATAAATCCAGTGGCTTCCAGAAGAATCAGCTGTTGAACATTTCTAGGTATCTTCCTCATTCTAATTATGATTATTTTTTAAGTCCCGTAGTCAACTTCACCTCTAAGAATGAGAAAGACAAACCTCATGGAATCTGAACCCAGGGACCAGGGGTCTGATCACAGGGCGGTGAAGATCACAGCAAGGCACGGCTAGGAAGTTGGCCTCATACCAAACAGTCCTAAAATGACACTCCCCCGTCACTTTTTTTTTTAAAGATTTATTTATTTATGCATACAAGAACTGGGGTACAGGTCAGAGCTATGGGGGGTGGGAGGATTCACCAGAGACAGAGTGGGGTACAGAACAGGTGGATTGACTGCAATACACTACTGAGGGGAGCAGCGGGCAAGTCAGGAGAGGTCTGCTGAGACATGTGGGTAGCTCCTTGGCCAGGGATCGAACTCGTGCTGCAGAGGCTGCAGATAGCTTCATAGGTTGCGTCTTAACCCCTTGCGCCACCAGGGAGGCCCACCCCCCTCACTTTCAATGCTTCTTTCTTTCCCCACCCTCCTCCTCAATACACACATATGTATCTGCCTGGGAAGACTTGACTTATTCTTAACTATCAGGGGCCGTTACACTCAGAGCAACCTGTGTCCACACCACCACCTCACTGTCACCCCACTCCTTCCCTCCCTCTTCTTGCCAACAGAGATGGGCACCCTTTTCTCTGCATGCTCTTTGCAGGCCTCTATTACTGTATTTCAGGAATTCCATGATGCCGCTGATTGGAAGGTGCACGACTGCTTTACACACGGCCAGTGGTATATCACCTCCCTTCTAGGCAAGCTGGACCCCAATTTCAGAAATGTGTGCATGTGACTGGAGGAAGTTAGAATTGATGAAGTAGGGTGTATCCCCAGTCATAGAGGATTCTAGCCACACCAGATTAGTGGGGTACCCATCGTCCCCAGGGTGTGTCTGTGTGTGTGTGTGTGATGGGGGTGGTGGTGGTGATAACTGGTGATCATTGGGACCCCACCATGAGCCAGATGCTGCCTGTCCGGGCTCTGAGTGCAGTGCACACACCGACATGTGACCTCACGTCTTAGCCAGCAAAGTTCATAAAAGTGATGGATAAGAGGACACGATTCTTACATTAATTGGGAAAGTGATTTTAATAAAACCATACCTTTTTCTTTGCTTCCATTTCATTTTCTTTGAAAAGAAAGAGATCTTTGAAAAAGACCTTGTAAGGCATGTTCTTCTTGCCTGAGTAATCTTTTACTTTATCTGCTAAAAAAGAAAAGGAAAACAATAATCTTTCTCTGCGGACAAGACAGCAAATCTACTGCCAACTGGGGAGGGGAAGAGGGAGGCAGGTGAAGAGAGAAAGAGAAGTCAATTGAATTTCTGATTTTTGAATGGACTTTTTGCTTTTATTCATAAAATCTGAAAGGATAAAAAGCCTTTTTCTTTCTTATGTTTGGTGGTGGATGGGAAATCTTGGCTTTAAATACCAATAGCTAAAACCAAGAGTACTGGGAGCTTGGGGCTGAGAAAGGGGAAAGGGAAAAAAGGGAAGAAGACACATTCACAGCTCCCCCCAGATCCTCTCCCACTTCCCTCTCCCCCTGCCACCAGAAAAGGCCACCAAATAAGAGACCCTGAGCAGTAGAGTTGCTCTGGCTCCACCCCAAGATACTGACTTAATTAACTTTATTGAGCCATAAACATCAGGGGATAGAGGACTGCAACTTGTAGGATGTGCCCTATAGGAAGAAGTGTGCGCCTTCCCTTTGCTTTTCTCTTTCTTGCAGCCAGGAATATGGGTTGTGATTGTTGGTGCAGAAGCAGCCACTTTGGATCAAGAATACAGGCCAGTGGGGGCCTCCCTGGTGGCACAAGGGGTTAAGCACAGCACTATGATGCAATCCATGGAGTTCAATCTGCAGCATGGAGTTCGATCCTCTGGCGGGCCAGAGACGTGGCCCACATGGCGCAGCAGACCTCTCCTGCCTTGCCCGCTGCTCCCCTCATCAGTGTATATCAGTCAATCTGCTGTTCTGTTCCCCACTGTGTCTCTGGTGTATCTTCTCACCCCTGGCACCTCTGGCCTGTACCCCAGCTCTTGTATGCATAAATAAATAAATCTTAAAAAAAAAAAATACAGGCCAGCAACAAGCCAAGAGGTCCATGGTATGAGCCTCCAAATTGACCTGCAATGCTTATGTTTGGACTTTGTTTCCATAAAAGAAAATAAGCTTCTATTATGTTTAAATAGAACCTCCCCAACAAACTCTTTATCTAGAGATGCCCTATCTAATGCTTTTGTGTAGTATTCTCCTTTCCCCATGCTCCCAGTCCACCATGAGACTAACAAGACTAGGCACAAAGCAACAACTCATTGATTTCTTCTTTACCTTCAGAAGATGACAAAAATTGTGACGGCATCTTGTCTCCTGACCCTGTTCGAAGAAAAGAAAATACATTTTTAAAAAATCTGTAAGCATTCTAAATTCAAACATGGCCAAGTTCAATATGAAAGATTATGTTCTGTAGAGGTCACTATGTTCTACAAAGCACTGAGTCAGGTCTTTGGATACATCATCGTTACAGGAGCAGCAGAAATAGGAATATGGAAAGAATCTGGCTTTTGGGGGGCAGCCAAAGAATCCTACCTTTGAATGTTTTCAATTTCCCTTGGGCCTAGCCAATTAAATTTAGGCACCTCAGGTTCTTCTTGTATCAATTATGGACGCCAGTACTTTTGTTATGGGCTTGTGGAAATTTTCACACACAAATAATGTATGCAATGTTCCTACAGAAGGTGGGCTAATAGGGAAATAATTGCTTCTATTTTCTTCAAAGTCTATATCCAGAGCTGTCCTCTTTCTAGTCCACTCTGTCTTGTGGACAGTACGAACATTTGAAAAGAACAGGAGGGGTAGTTGACAACTAACTTTGTAAGAGACCCTGAACTAATGTTCTTAAAATCTAATGATTTGGAAGGAATCAACCAGCAATATCAGTGCAAATTTGGGGAACGTGACCCACCTTAGTGCAGATTCTTCACATTCTAAACTCCAAGGAAGTGGACAAAGAGAAATGGTGTTTTGTAATGTCTAATCCTAAAGTCCTAGACTGACTCGAAATGAAATGAACAATGTAAACCACATATTATTTGAAGCAGTTTGTGCTTGATTTTCTCAACAAGCCTCTCTACAACTCAATGAAAATGATTCCCAGTAATAGAGAAAAAGCTGTTCATTTGCAAGTGAAGATTTAGACAGATTTTCTCAGACCCACCCCTTGCAATATTTCCCCACTTGGACACATACTAGGAGGAAGGGCTGTGAACTGTGTCCTTGGTTGGTGAGTAGAGACCAGAGCTAGCAATTTTTTGTTTATCTAAAGCAGGAGCCACTAGGTCCTTGGCCTGCTCCATGACCTGGCGTTTGATTAGGTCAGAAGCAGAGCACAATGATGAGGAAATTACCTTCAGCTTGACCTTTCAGGCCCTGCTGGCGTCAAGCTCGCTATTTTATGTGGACTTTTGTGTTGACATTTTGACTGCCCCGTTTGCAAACTGAAAAAATAACTGGAGGTCAAGAGGAAGGAAGAGTAGGGGGAAAGAAGTCAGCCAGTGTGAATCCAGTGATGGAAAATACTTTGTAAATTAAGATGTGCTAGAGGGATGATCATTATGAGTAAGGAAAAATGTGGTCTCCTCACCCCTCAATAATAATTTAGCGATGACCAAGGAGGGTAGAAGACAATTCTTATTTTTCTTGCTTCTGCAAACATTTTGCTTGCTTGCATGGGCTTTTGAGGCAATGGATAATCTGATGCACTAGTTTCACCCACAGATATAAATTTCCCTTAGATTTACCAAGAATTTGTAAGCTCTAAGTACATGATACATTCTGTGAAGCCAGGAGGGAAACTAGTACTATTGTCCAACATCTAATTTTTAATTTAACTGACCAGACAAATAGCAGATTAAAATAAACTAATAGTAATTATAACATTCACACATATTATTTGTTTGAGCTAGACATTGGGCTAAGTGATAGCCCTTTCATCTTATTTATTTTAAGATTATTTATGCATACAAGAGCTGGGGTACAGGCCAGAGATGCCGGGGGGTGGTGGTGGTGAGAGGATTCACCAGAGACAGAGCGAGGAACAGAACAGGCAGACTGAGTGAAATACACTGAGGGGAGCAGTGGGTGAGAGAGGAGAGGTCTGCTGCACCATGTGGGTAGCTCCCTGTCTGGCCTAGGGATTGAACTCAGTGGCTGGGGACAGCTTCATAGGTCGCGTCTTAACCCCTTGCGCCACCATCTTATTTAAAACTCAAATAAATCCATAACACTGTAAAAAAGAAAAAAATGCCAACACTATGCTCGCACTGAGGATGAAAAAACTGAGGTTTAGGAAAATTAAATTTCCCAAGGTCATAAATAACAGAATTTAGCTCATAAATTAACAAGCAGGATTAAGACAAGTATATTGAACCCCAAAGGCTTTTATTTTTCTATAATTTCACCTCATACTTTATATTTATAATTACATAAATTTGCAAATATGCCTAGAATTGCAAAATGTAACATTCACATCTTTTTAAAAAAGATTTATTTATTTATTTATACAAGAACCAGGGTACAGGCCAGATGCATGGGAGGGTGAGAGGATTCACCAGAGACAGAGTGGGAAGCAGAACAGGTAGACTGACAAAATACACTGCTGAGGGGAGCAGTGGGTGAGACAGGAGAGGTCTGTCTCGCCATGTGGGACCCTCGCCGGCTGCCTCGGGATCTAACCAGCGCTACAGAGGCTGCCGACAGCTTCACAGTGCGGCGCTCAACTGCCTGCACCACCGGGGGAGGTCCAACATTCATATCTTTAGCAGATCTTTTATAAGGTCTCAATATGTTTCTATGCATTAACAACATTTTGTGTTCTATTTTCCTCTATTTCTACTTCTAAGTATTATTTCTTTACATATTATACTTTTCTTTCTAAAGCTGTGTATAGTTGTGTGTCTGTGTATAGTTGTGTGTCTGAGCTATAAGTGACCCTGGATTCTGCCCCCACACCCCCACCCAGTGTCTCTTCTACTGATATCTAATTCTTCTCCAATTTTTTTTCTTTCCTCTTATCTACTTGACATCTCTCTTTTATTGCCATAAGATGAAGCTAAAGTATATCCTCACTTTTGTCTTCATCTACAGGAGTTTTTGCTTTCTGTTCTTAGTTTTTAAATGACTTTAAATGATACTGAATTGGCTTATTTATATATTTCATGTCTTTGCAGGCCTCAGCCTGCCTTTATGATATATTCCTTGTGTACAAAGTAACTCCCTTTTGATCGTGAAGTGCCTTTTCTCTGTATTTTCCACAATCTCAGAGTTAATAAAAGTGCATTTAAAGAATAATGAATGTATACCTTTACTCTTGTGACAGACATACAGAAAATGTAATTTAGTCAATTTTATTTCCAGTATCTACATATGTTAAAAATTATCAATCAATAAATCTAAAAAAGGCCAAAGTAAAAAAAATAAAATAAAAAATAATTAGGGGGCCTCCCTGGTGGCGCTAGGAGTTAAGATACAACCTATGAAGCTATCGGCAGCCTCTGCAGCACAAGATCGATTCCTGGCCAGGGAGTTACCCACATGGCACAGCAGACCTCTCCTGACTCACCTGCTGATCCTCTCAGCCCTGTACTTCAGTCAATCCACCTGTTCTGTTCCCCATTCCGTCTCTGGTGAATCCTCTCTCTCTCTCTCACACGCACACACACACACCCCACCTCTGGCCTGTACCCCAGTTCTTGTATGCATAAATAAATAAATCTTTAAAAATAAAAAATAATTAGGACCCTAAGACAAACCCCAATGGCTGCCAGTGTTTTCACAGCCACTGATGGCCGGGAAGAGGTGTGGGTGAGAATTAGACCATCTGACTTAAACAACCTTCATTCCCTCGCCAACCTCGGTGGCCCCACCAGATACAGCTGGGGTAGGAGGTGGGGTCAGCGAGCCGAAGCCAGGTTTTTACCTCGGGGAGTCTGGATCCAGGAGCTGTTTCAACCTATCCCTCCGGAGGCTGTCAGGTGAAGAAAGGCTAAGGCGCCAATCGATTCTCCGGTCTCGGCTCTAGCCTCCCTCGCCCCGACCCCCCCTCATCTCCGGGACTGTCTGGTAGGGGGTCCCGAGTCAACCTGCCCAACCGAAAGTGCCGGGCACCCGCCGCCCCACTGCTTCAAGGCCGCGCGGGCCAGAGCTACACCCCCAGGTTCCTGCGCCCCCCCAACACCCTCCCCCCGCCCCATCCGCCGCCCCGTCCCCTGGGCAGAGGCCTCTCCACGCGGTCCTTTCTCAGGGCTGGCCCTCGGGCGTCCGCCCAGCTCCGTTCGCTCAGGGGGTCTGTCCCGGCCGCCAGGCCTTGCCCCAGGTCAGAGGTCAGTCCAGCAGCCGCCCCCCCCCCCCCCCGGCCGCCGGTGCCCCCTGCAAGCGCTCCCGCCTCTCGGGGACCCCCGCCTCCCGGGGACCCCAGCCTCTGGGGACTTCCTTTTCTCGGGGACCCCCGTCTCTCGGGGACCCCGGCCTCTCGGGGACCCCAGTCTCTCGGAGATTTCCTTTTCTCAGGAACACCCGCCTCTCGGGACTTCCTTTTTCTCGGGGACCCCCGTCTCTCGGGGACCCCCGTCTCTCCCGGACCCCCGCCTTCGGGGGCCCCCGTCTCTCCGGGACCCCCGTCTCGGGGACCCCCGCCTCCCGGGGACCCCCGCCTCTCCGGGACTCCCGTCCGGCGACGTAGCCACCACACCCCTCCGTTCTCTCTCCGGTGGCCGAGCTGCAAAGTAAGGACGACCGTGTCCCCCATGTCCCCCACGTTTCCCCACAACGGCGACAGGACGCCACACAAAAGGAGACGCTATGGAACGTTTATTAGCCGCCCCGCGCTGGGACTCTGGGGGTCGGTACCTTTCCAGCCCCGGCGATGGGGGGGGTGGGGGGAGGTGCCCGCCCTCAGGGGGGGGGTGTGGGCGGCGCCTGCGAGCCCCGCCCCCCCGCCCGCCCTCCCCGGCGGCGCGGCCCGCGCCCGGCGCCCTCCTCCGCGTCCCGCCGGGCCCTGGCGGTGCCTCCCGGAGACCCGCGCGCGCCATGGCCGGCGGCCACCGCCTGCTGCTGGAGAACGCGCGGCAGGTGGTGCTGGTGTGCGCCCGCGGGGAGCGCTTCCTGGCGCGGGGCGCGCTGCGCAGCCTGGCGGTGCTGGAGGGCGCCAGCCTGGTGGTGGGCGCGTAAGTGGGGGCGCGCGGGGCGCGCGGGGCGGGCGGGGCGGGGGTCGGGTCTCGAAGCCATGCGCTGGGAGGCGAACCGGGTAAAGGCTTGTGACAGACGTACAGAAAAGGGAATTTAATCCATTTAATGTCCCCGGCCGGCCAGGGAGCTACCCACACGGCGCGGCAGACCTCTCCTGCCTCTGCCGCTGTTCTCCTCAGCTGCTCCCGCCCGCAGGGCCCTGGCGGGCCTGCCTTTTACGCACCTGATGCTGGCAGGTTTGCTTCGTGTCGCCATTCCGTGAACAAACGCGCTCAAGCTGAACCTCTTGTGGGTAATATGGGTGTCGCACAACCCAAGGGATTGTTGATCTCTCTAGTTTTCTGAAATGCCTCTGGGGATGTCTGAGATTTTTTTTAAAAAATGCTTTTTAAAAAAAACCCGAGCGCTTACACTACCCACCTCCTCACTCTCTGCACCCCATCCCCTGAGATTTTGAGTCTGTGGGTGGAGTTCTGAGAGCTGAATATTCAAAAAGCTTTTCTCCAGCTCCCTTAGTTTCTACACCAAAGCTGGATGACCAAAACGTTTAGAGGGTGATGATTGGGGGTGGGATAGGGAGGTAGATGCAGCCACCAGGAAAAACAGGACTTTCCAATCATTTTCATGAAATCTTTTTGGGCTTTCTGCTAAGTGTGACCAAAGAACAGGCCAGGTCTGGGAGGGCGGACCTGGAGTGGGGGTGAGGGTTGGAAGCCCGTATGAACTGGAAAGTCCATGTCGCCGGGATTGCTCAAGATGAATCAGTCTTACCCCTGATCAGGCTGCTTAGGTTGTGTAACAACCCAGCTTGGTTTGTTTTTGATTAATAGAGGGATGGAAACATTCTTGGTGTTTGGTTAAAATCAATTTGCAGAATCGCACAACTGTTTACACAGATAAGAAAATACTAGGAAGTGTGAAACCAAAGCAGTATCTATAAAAATTAATACCTCCCACATGAAGTCTTGGATTCCAGGACACTGACTTTATACTTTTGTTTACAGGAAAGCCAGGTACAATAGGAAAATAAAGAGGAGGGTGTTGACTTACCTGGATGGAACTGTGGGGTTTTGATCTGAGTCTATTACATGGTCCTGAGATGCATTGAAAAGATCATGATACTACAATATGATAATAGCAAAGCAGGGCAATGCCTGTAGTTGGGTTTATAAAACCCTGCACTGGAGGGGCACCTGACAGTGTGAGAGAGTGTGTGTGTGTGTGTGTGTGTGGTGGGGGGGGGGAGGTAAGAGGGTGTCATTTTTATCCATCTCCAAAATGAGAACAGCTTTTAGGCTTTAATAACTAAGATTGGTTGCGTATCAATCCCAAAGATTCACAAAGCACCTTGAAAGCCACACAAAGAGGTAGTGTATGATGAATAGACTATAGCATCTAAAGAAGATTCTGTAGTTTTCTCTGTAAACTTTTCAGAATAGAGGGTAAATAGAAAGCAAATCTGTCCCTGCTCTTTTTTCCTTAAAAAAAAAAAAAATCTTGTGACATGTTCATTGTAGAAAAAGTGTGAAAATATGAAAAATGAAGAAAAGTCATTCATACCCCACCATTCAGTAATCTCACACCAACAATTAGGTGCTTAGCTCCTCGGGCATTTTCTATGCAGATGGAATTACATACAAATGCATATTTTAGAAAAGGAATCTTACCATGTATACTGTTTTGTACCTGGGTTTTTTCCCCACTAAATAATACATATTGAAAATCTTATTAATACATAGTTTTATAATTTTTAATGGCTACCTTAAAAAACCACTGTTGCAGGAATGCTTTTAGATATTTTAAATAATTGTCTTTGTACATAAGCCTTATCCAAACATAGTAAGTACAGATTCACCAATGTATGAGATCCTGGTAGGCAGCAGATAATCAGATAATTAGTGGGGTCAGGAAAAAATTTCTCCTGACATTGATTGAGGCTGTTAAAATTGATTTCTTAGATTTGATCTTGTTATAACACAAATAACCCCACTTAAATCAGTGTCAGTCATTAATTTTTTGCATGGAATAACTTCTCAGATCTTTTGCCTATGGATCCTGGCTAAGATACAGCTCCTTTCCAATTGAGACACAATTCTTGTGCTAGAAGAAAGAAACTCTATGTAAAACTCTTTTTTGTCCTTTGCCATTTAAGGGTCAATTTCCTGCTGGTCCTTTTCACCACTAGATTCTCTAATTGAAATTCTTTAATTGCATATAAAAGCAGTTGGTGATGAAGAATTGTATGAGTCAGGTGACTAAACAAAATTTCAGAACTGAATTTCCTGTATAATTTCTAAATTTGCCTTCCCCATAACTCTCAGGGTTGTATTTCTTTCCTGTCATACTATCTATCCTTTTCACTTAGCTTCTACTTCCCGTCTTACTCTCTGGTCATCCAAATCACTGCAGTCCGGTTTCTGACATCTTCTCTCCTGCTTTTCATGCATTTCCCAACTCTCAGTTCTGGAAACACTAATTGGCAGTGAGTAACAAAGACTGAAATTAGCAGGGCTTGAAAGAAGATAAGACATCTATTCTCCTATGCAGAAATCCAGAGGTAGAAAATTCAGGGTTAGTGGAAGGCCATATTCTTTGTCAAGAGCTGTGGACCCAGGCCCCTGCCATCTTGCCCTATGTGTGTGACCCTTTCAAGGTCACTCTGTTATCCAAGATGGTTGCCCTCTCCAGTCCTGTGCCTGCATTCCAGCCAGTAGGAAACAGGAAGAGAAAACAATCCTTTTTTTTTTTTTTTGAGAGATTTATTTTATTTATACAAGAGCTGGGGTACAGGCCAGATGCGCGGGAGCATGAGGTGATTCACCAGAGACAGAGTGGGGAACAGAACAGGCAGATTGACTGAAATACACTGCTGAGGGGAGCAGCGGGCGAGACAGGAGAGGTCTGTCGCACCATGTGGGATTCTTGCTGGCCGGCGGGGATTGAACCAGTGCTGCAGAGGCTGCCGACAGCTTCACAGCGCTGCACTTAACCTCCCTGCGCCACCAGGGAGGCTCAGAGAAAACAATCCTGTTGGCTAAGATGTAGTCACATGGCCGCTCAATTGGTGGGAGACTGAGAAATGTAGTCTTTCTTCTGGGGGTTTGGGGAAGAGGTCATATGTCCAGCTAAGCTAAATGTAGTAATCTGGATTTTAGTACTGTGGGGAAAGGAAACGTTGCTCTTGGGGAACAATTAGCATAGTCTGTTACGAAAGATTTAACTTTCAGCCTGAAATGTAGTCACTTTTCCAAATACATAGGTTTGAGAAGGAATTATAGTAAATGTCGACTCATCAAAAGACATCAATAACATATTTTAAATAACTAGTCAGAGTTCTCATAATATTTCCCCAAACTTCAGTAATTATTTCTTGAATGTTCTTCAGGGATGGGTGTATAAAGGCCATCGGTCCTGCTGATGCTATCCAAAGACAGTTTGCTAAAGAAACTTTTGAAGAAAGAATTGACTGTTCTGGGAAATGCATCTTGCCAGGTATTACCCTTTCCAATAAGACCATGAAATATAAAATAATAGTGAAGAGAGACAGTAGCTATTTGTTTTAAATTAGGTCTCATAAAAACATTAAAATATAATAATAGCTATCATGTATTGGTCTTGAAAGTCAGACTTTTACAAACATGCTTTCATGTTGAATTCTTATACCTGCTCTGTAAGGTAAGGATCATCATTGCACATTTCAGATTACAAAACTGAAGTTTGGGGGTGAAATATCCAAGAAATTGTAGGATGTTATTTTAGTTTTTGACAATAGAATCAGTTTGTTGACCATCACCTCATACACTATTGATTTTGTATGGCTTCATATAATCATCTGAAAGAAATATTACACAAACAGAGAGGCTGGGATTTATATATTTATTTATTTATTTTTACCTTTTCTTACTTTATTAAATCTTACTAGTATTCTTTAAGGGACAAACACTCGTAAGTAGGTTACAGTTAAAAAATCTTATTTTTATGAATTAAGAAGCTACTACGTTACTTCTGTTTTATTTGCAGTGATTCTCTTTATTCTGGGACTCCAGGTAATATTCAGCTCCCACAGCTACCACAAATGCAGCAAATCCCCATTTGAATCCTTTTAATAATGCACCAGCAAAGGAAACATTGTTTGCAAAGCCACCCATGAATCTCCAAGCCTCATTGTGACCCCATGGATCCCTTAGCCCTTGTGCAGCCAGCTTCTCCTGGATAATTTCTAAAGGTGTTCCTTCTATCTTCCATTGTTTATAGCCTGGAAGTTCCATTTTACCATGGCCTTGTCCATGGCCATGTTCATGTCCATGGGCCATGTCTGACAGCAATCTGACCTCTCAGGACATTCAATATTCACCCCTCCAACCAGAGCCAACAGGAAACGGAAGTTGTCATGGATTTATATATTTAAATGTGGACTGTGTATCTCTGACAGAACTTCCACCTTTGGCTCATAAGTCAGGGCAAAACCTTACACAAAAGAGCAGATATAGCAGAAAGCAATCTAAAGACAGACTTGATTTCAATCCAATCAGAATTACTAATGAGCCATAAAGTATTTTAAGTATTACCAGAAGATACACTTTATTGGTGTATCTAGATAAATAAAAGTTCCAGGTGATAGCTTTATCGTTTTCTTTCATTAAAACAATTTCTCCCTTGAAGGAAGATTCATCTTTCTGATTTCATATTTTCCTTTCTCAAATTTAAAGGTAGGCATTATATTATTCTGTTTTCACACCTTCATTATTCCTTGGTGTGCTCAACTAATAATGTGACATCCTTCTTTAACTTTTTAAAAATTTATTTATGTATACAAGAACTGGGGTGTAGGCCAGAGGTGCAGGGGGTGAGAGGATTCACCAGAGACAGAGTGGGGAGCAGAACAGGAGGAGTGACTGAAATACACTGCTGAGAAGATCAGCAGACGAGAAGGGAGAGGTCTGCTGCTCTATGTGGGTCAGCTCCCTGGCCGGGGATCCATAGCGGCTGGCAATAACTTGATAGCACTGAGACTTTAACCCCTGTGCCACCGGGGAGGCCTGTGACATCCTGCTTTAAAAGCTTATTTGATGAGCATGCACCTCTTGGGGGAAGGAGCTATATTTCTTTATTTCTTTTTTCAATTTTACTATCTGTACATTTTAATTTCTTTTTTTATAATTGTTTTTTATTTTTTACATCATTGTTCATTTTTAAACAATATTTGCTTCTCCCCACCCCCTCAGGTGTACTCCCCATAGAATTTCCTTCACCAATGTACCCGTGCACCATCACCTCAGTCCCCTGTGAGGAGCTATATTTCTTTTTTTTTTTTTTTAAGAGGCATGTATTTATTTATTTATTTGTTTGTTTGTTCATTTATACAAGCACTGGGTACAGTCAGAAGCGCGGGAGGGTAAGAGAATTCACCAGGACCAGAGAGGGGAGCAGAGCAGGCAGCAGGACCGAAGTACACTGCTGAGGGGAGCAGCGGGTGGCAGGAGAGGTCTGCGCGCCATGTGGGACCCTCCTCTGGTGGCCGGGGAGCAGCTGGGAATCGAACCGGCGCTGCAGAGGCCATGGGCAGCTTCGCAACCCAGCGCTCAAGCACTGCGCCACCGGGAAGGCCCAGGAGCTATATTTCTTTAAGGGATGTTTTCATCACTTTGTCCTCTCCTCCATTGGAACCTTCCAGACCAGCCATGGAGAGAAGCATCTTATTTCTTCTCCATCCAGGGAACCAGACAAAGTCTTCCTTCTCCACGCTTCTCCAAGATGAATGACCACCGTTATACTTTCCCAAGAGCAGTTTAGTATAATCTGTCTGCTGTCAAAGAGCATTCTATTTTTTTTTTAAATTTTGAAAATGATTTGATTTCTTGATTACAGGTTTGGTGGATGCACACACACATCCAGTATGGGCTGGAGAAAGAGTTCACGAGTTTGCTATGAAGGTAAATGCAATAAATGATGGCCAATCCAAATAAAGTACAAATACAGACAAATACTTTCCAAAAGAGTTGATACACTACCAGGCTTTGCAATATATATCTCTGCATCTCTTTTTAGTGGATATGTTTACTGGTCTGGATTATAGAAAATAAATTAGAAAATAAATTATAGAAAATAAATTACTGTCCCAGATCTTCATACAACATATAGAGCTAACATTCCTTTCAAATATAATATTGGATTCATGTCCTAATACATTTGTCCAAATATTTTTTACAATTAATTAAAAAAATTAATTGTAGAAGCCACCTTTTAAAACACCTGAAGGGGGATCTTATACTTCAAAACACAAACAATGATATAAACCAATGTTATCTTAATTAAAAAAAAAACAACATAGCTGAGCTGCCTTGCTTGATGATTTTCCCTCTTCCCCTTTCCTCATTCCATTCTACCAACCCTGGTAGCCTTTGAAGGGGTTCCAGGAAACAGTTTGAAAATCACCGTTCATTTGGGCCAGACTTGGAAAAAATTTTACTGATCAAACATACAAAGTAAGTACAAGACTTCTTGTATTCTCTTTTATCCCAGAAAAAAAAAATGAGACTTTTAAGAAACATGATAATTAGGCTATTCAGGCAAAATTAACCACAGTGAACTTTCAAATCCCTGGTAGGAGTCATTTTCATGAAGTTTGTTTGTTTTTAATAGATTGAATAATTTTGAAGCAGTTTTAATTTCACAGCAAAATTGGGTGGGAAATAGATTTCCCAGATAGCTGTGCTCCCACACACCCTCAGCCTGTCCCATTATCAAAATCACAACTAATGTATTAAATGTAACTAATACATTTAACTAATGTACTTGTTACAAGAGGTGAATCTTTACTGACACGTCAGTATCACTCAGAGTCCAAATTTATGTTAGGGTTCACTCTTGGTGTTGTGTATTCTGTGCTTCTGGAGATATGTATCATGACATGAATCCAACATTATAGTATCACAAAAAATAGTTTCACTACCCTGAAAAATCTGTGCTCTGCCTATTTATTCCCTTCCTTCCCCAACCCCTGGCAACCACTGATCTTTTTTTACTGTCTCTGTAACTTTGATTTTTCTAAATGTCATATAGTTGGAATCAAACAATATGTAGCCTTTTCATATTAACTTCTTTTACTTAATAATATGTATTTAAGTTTCTTCCATGTCTTTTCTTGGTATATTTTTAAAAGTATACATTCTAACAACTAAAATGGATTGTCTCGGAAAAAAGAAAAACTTTCTTCAGATACTGCATGCCTTCCCCAACAAACTAGAGTTGTTTTTTCAGGTTTCTTTATTAAATTACAGAATTAAATCTCCAAAAGCAACCTTGGAGATTTGCAGTCCAGTCTGCTCTAGGCCTTTCATTATGTGAATATAGGAAGTGAGCTCCGAGCCAGGGAAGGGGTTGCTGGCTGAGGTCATCATGTCTCACGGTGGCAGAACTCACATGAAGAGTCCGGCAGGGAGCCTCACCAGGGAGGCTTCTTATCTCGCACCCATTCGCTGCTGCTTGGAGTGACAGAGCCAGTGCGACCCCAGAGACAGGCTCTTAAGTGACAAAGCTCCAGCCCTAAACTCTAGCGGCCAAATCCTGAGGCATGGAAACCTCCCCTGGGGCTCTTGAGTGGCTGAATAACTGCAGTAGAATCCCGAGTGGCAGGCACTTTGCTTTCTCCTAGATGCTGAGGCATGTTGAGACTTCATTGGTACACCCTGGGGCACACTGGGTCATGAAAAGACTGAAATACTTCTGTACCAGCTAGTACATTGTTGCTGCCCTGGTACCCCAAGTAATTCCCAGTGGAGCTCTCATTTCTGCCACCCCAGTCCTTTCCTGGGGACACCCCATCTCCTCAGCTCCCCTCTTGACCTTGGCAGCCTACTTGTGCATCCTTTCCGATTGCTTGGTGCCTCCTGGCATAGCTTTTGCTGATCACTTTGAAGAATGGCAGGCCCTGGGCGTTCTATAGCCTCCCATGGGGCCCAGCCTGAGGGTGTATGGTGTGTTCAGTTGGCAGGAGCCACGTACATGGATATTCACCAGGCTGGCGGGGGGATCAACTTCACGGTGGAGCGCACCCGCCAGGCCTCGGAGGAGGAGCTGTTCAGCTCCTTCCAGCAGCGGCTTCAGTGCATGATGCGGGCGGGCACCACGCTGGTGGAATGCAAGAGCGGATATGGCCTCAACCTGGAGACAGAGCTCAAGATGCTGCGGGTGATTGAGCGAGCCCGGCGGGAGCTGGACATTGGCATCTCCTCCACTTACTGCGGGGCTCACTCAGTGCCAAAGTAATCTCAGCCTCTGGGACAGCGGTTTAACTTGGGAGAGTGAGAACCAGTAAGGGGTGGTGGGGCGCCAAGGAGGGGGTTTCACGTGTAACGTTCTCCAGGTTTTTTTACATTGTCTGCCCACGGTAATCTCATTTTCTTTCCTCAGAGGAAAAACAGCCACTGAAGCTGCTGATGACATAGTCAATAATCACCTCCCAAAGCTGAAGGAACTTAGCAGAAATGGGAACCTACACGTTGATAACATAGACGTGTTCTGTGAGAAAGGCGTCTTTGATCTGGATTCCACCAGAAGGATTCTTCAGAGTGGAAAAGATATAGGATTACAAATTAATTTTCATGGGGATGAACTCCACCCGATGAAGGCTGCAGAGGTAAGCTTGGTCTTTTGTTGATACATGTGCTGTGGAAAACTTAGTTTGTCAGAGGTAGAAGCAGCCTTCTGAAAAGACAGTAAGTGGGGAAATTTTTTTGAATGATGTGCAGACTGGTCTGCTTGAGTTTAGGAATTGCTGACCTATTCAAAATTTGTGGGTTTTTTTTCTTGGACATTTAATGTTATGATCACCTGTTCATGCTATTAGAAAAAGAAGTAACTGTGATCTCATTTACTAAAATTCCACCACCTATTTTGGTTGGCACACAACACTGTACTAGCAGAATCTATTAATTTCACATGCAACTTCTAGAATTTTTCTGTGGCAGAATCCAGATTAAATTTAGTGGAGCACACCAGAGTCACAAAACTATATATCTTGCCCAGATTCATTTATTCATGATTTTAATAAATCTTTGAGTGCCTACTGTGTATCAGGCACTGTTCTAGGCACTGAGAACTTAGCAGTGAAAAACTAGACAAAATCCCTCCAGTGATAAATCCCTCTAGATGTCTCTCCTCTCAACCCTGGAGCTAAGTACGCAACTGTCCATGGGACATAAATATAGATGTAGATTTCACACATTTTTTTTATAAGATTTATTTATTTATGCATACAAGAGCTGGGGCACAGGCCAGAGGTCTGGGAGGTGAGAGGATTCACCAGAGACAGAGTGGGGAACAGAACAGGCAGACTAACCGAAATACACTGCTGAGGGGAGCAGCGGGCGAGGTCTGCTTCGCCATGGGGGTTGCTCCCCGGCGGGCCGGGGATCAAACCTGTGCTGCAGAGGCCTAGGATTGCTTCACAGTGTGGTGCTTAACCCCTTGTGCCACCAGGGAGGTCCTTCACACGTGTTTCAACTACATGTGCAACTTGCTCTCTCGATATTCTTCCAACTCTTGTCCTGTGTGTCCTGCCCCAGCAAATGACTCTACCACTTATTTATTGTCTAATCAAGTACCTGAATGTTATTTTGACTCCCCTTCCCCATCACCTATCACATTTTTACCATCCGGCAAGTCCTCCCAGTTCTGCGCCTGAATACCGCTAGATTCGCTTTTCTTCACCCTAATGCCTAATTCACACTATCATCAGCTCTCACCGGCATTCCTGTAATAACTATTCTGGCCTCCAAGCTTGCCTGCACTTCACTCCCTCCCTTTAATCCATTCCCTCAGTGCATCTAATCCTTCTTCTCCATTGCTTTAAGCCAATTAAAGGTTGACCATTACCTGTAGAACAAATGCCAAACTCCATATACATAGGCTCACCAGGATCCAACCCTTGCTTTTCTTTCTACTCCCCCACCCCCCTGCACCTTATACCTCAGCTACCCTCTCTACCATGATCCAGGCACAAAATCATTTTAACGCAGCTGAGACCCTTTGTCTCCATACCTGCTATTTCACTAATATGCACACTCCCCTTTGTCTGGCTAACGCTGCCTTCTTTCTATGTTTCATCTTAGCAACTGCTTCCCTGGGACTTCTTCCCAAACCTCCCTAAGGATGGGGCATAACCCCTCCCTATACTTACCTCCCTGTGTTAAAGTTACCTCTGTGATCCCTGCTGGACTATACACACACACTGAGGATTGTACCATGTCTTACACACCCTATCCCTGGAGGCTAACACAGCACCTGGCATAGAGATTGCCTTTAGAAAGCAAATATTTGCTGAATGGATGTGAACTGGGTGGTCAACAAGATACTTTTGGTCATAGAGAGTGACTGGTGAATTAAATCAATAGAGGTCAATACCCAGGATGAGCAAATCAAGTTGGAAAAGGGTGATCCCAAGGTCAGAAAGGCACTCCCTCAGGGGAGCACAGACTGTCCTAGGGAGCAGTAGACTCCCCAGGGTCTCAATTCAAACTGCTCTTAGACCTGAGCGAGCTGCTGATGAGGGGCCAGCTCTTACATACCCGGAAGAGGGCATTGTGGCCTCCCAGGGCTGCAGAGTAATGTCACCCCTTAATCTACTTTCATTTCCTTGGCATTCCTTGGCATGCTTAACACATCCGTCTTTCAGCCTCGAGTATGTGTGTGCATGGGTGTGTGCATGTGAGAAAATTTGTCAAGGTAAGATGAGATCCACATTAATGCCTGTTTTGAGTATTATTCTCTTCATTTTCTTTGAACAATCCAGCCCAAGATTTTTATCTGGAGAGAATTCAAGCTCATGTAGAGATTCTCCAATTGTACATATTATTCCACATTTTAAAAGTTTGCTTTCTTAACTGATACATTTTCACTGAGTGCAATAGTATTTCATTATACCTTTCATCATTCTGTTTTTACGATGTTCTACTAATTTGATTTTATTACCAATATCACTCAACATTTTGCTTTATTCATAAGATTCGTAAAATTTTCTAAGCAAATGTCTGAAGAATTTCAGTGAGCATTTGTGCTTAAAAATAGATTTGGAAATAGCACACTAGCTAATTTTCAAATAAATGCCCATTACGTTCATCATCCATCGGCATGTGGTTATAGAGGCAGCTGGTAAGAATGCATCATAATGGAGTGCTGTTTGCTTTTGCAGGAAAACTATTTTGTGGCACTTTATTGATTTATAACCGTTGGCTAGAACTTTCTCTCTCTGTCCATTTTGCTTAGCTGGGGGCTGAATTGGGAGCCCGGGCAATCAGTCACCTGGAGGAAGTAAGTGATGAGGGCATCGCTGCCATGGCAACGGCCAGGTGCTCTGCAGTCCTTCTGCCCACCACTGCCTACATGCTGAGGTGAGGTCCTTCCCACTCCACACAAGAGCTCTGGGTACAAGCTGTGAGGAACCCAGACTTCCACGATGCCTAAATTGTTTCATTGCCCTTATAAATCCCTTAAAATGCAGATCAAGAAAACTTACCTCCTGGAAGAGGCCAATTGTGGGATGCTGTTCACAGACAAGTCAAAATTACCCTGAGGAAGGGCCTTAGGCCTAATTGCCTCAGAGTGGTGGGATATGGAGGAGGGTGGTGCTGTCTTTTTTACTAGTTCTTGGCATTTTCCAAATAAAAAATCTGTATGCATTATAAAATGGGATTTATAATTTAGAAAAATGCAGAGGAGGTTGGAGATACCAAGCAGCATCCAGAATCTGAATGATCTGTTTGCTAAGCGGGTGTGAGCGGGCACTGTAATTGTGTATCAGCATTCTCGTAAATGCTGGGGGTGGGAGGAGAGAGGAGACAATTAATATTTTGTAAAATCTCCCGGGAATGTTGCTGTGTGCCCTCTGTGGGTGAACTCACACCAGCTTTAGAACTGCCATTGCTCTGATTCTACCAAGTATGAGACCCCAGTCTCCTGACGTTTCTGTTGTGCCATATCCATGACAGCCCCGGTGGCTGGGGTCTGGAAGATCAGCCTTCCAGGGACAGTTTGTTCTCTTAGGAGGAGGTGCTCTCGGTGTGGTTGGGGTGTGTGGTTTTCAGGGGGATGTTCCCAAAGTTATGGCCTTAGAACAGTGATTTTGACCTTGGGGTGAGTTTGCGCCCGAGGGGGCATTTGACAATGTCTGGAGACATTTTTCATTGTCACACTAGGGGGTGCTGTAAGCATCTAAAGGCGAGAAGCCTGCGATGCTGCTTTTTTATTTTAATATTTAAAATTTTTTTATTGAGGTAACATTGGTTTACTGCACTGTATATGATTTAGGGGAGTAGGTTCATGCCTCCCCCTATACTGCTCGGAACACTAAAGCACTCATAGTCCTTTTAAGCAGACAATTGGGCGCCATCCTCTTCATTCCCACCTCCAACCTCTCTCCCCTTCTGTCACCTCAATTCTGCAGATATATTTCTAGGGTTTGCTTTGGTTTCAGAGATCCTACAATGCAGAGAACAGAGCCACACACAAAGAATTATTCAGCCCAAGATATGAAGTGTGCCGGTGTTGAGAAACTCTGCCGTAGGGGTTGAAGTCAGGCTTCAAGTAACTTTTATAAAAGAGAAGCAAGGAATATTCGGTGCTTTTTTCAAAAGTATTATGATTTTACCTACACAATGTATAATATTACGTATTTCTGTCATCAGTCTTCTCTTAAAGAGTAGGTATAATGTTGATTGATTTGATTCATTCCTTCTCTTGCAAACCTCAATAGTCAGCAATCAAATTTATCAATCAGTATTTTCTACCATTCAAGAAATACCCTCCCCTAAAAAAAAAAAAAAAAAAAAAGGAATGCTTTAACTCACCTTAAATACCTTAAGACAGAGCAAGAATCTGGTCTTGTGGTCTGAAGGGCAGTGTAGCATTAAAACTCTGGACTTTGTCCCCACGCCAGTGGGGCTGCCATCTACTATTGCCACTAAGATGGGTTCAGCCCCCTGCTTTTTCTAGTGCTCTCTTAATATCTTTGCAGCTCTAACCCCACCTTAAGCAGTTCTGGAATGGGAGGAGAGGCTATCAGCATGACTGAAAGACAAATTTTAAGCTCTATTCTTTCCTTACACTGCAACTTCTTTTTCACCCACCTTCTCTCAAATGTCGTCCTAGCTGAGGATCTATTTTCCACAGGTCTGCAATTTATCAGTCACCCACTGGGACTACTTAGCAACAATCATGGCTGCATCTTCACTAATTTATGAGATTGAGCAAAGACCTAGGGGAAGCGAGGGAACAAGCTATATCTAGGGAAAGGAGTGGGGGATATCGAGAAGAATGTTCAGGACAAACGGCTGGTGAGTGTGATGGCAGACTGCAGTGGGTGTGTTTGAGAACAGCTGGATTGCACCAAGGTCAGAGAGGCATGGGGGTGGGGGGGTGGGGGCAGTTAGGAGTGGGGAGAGTAGGAGATGAGGGCAGATGAGGAGCACATTTTGTTGAGTTGAGACCAGGGTGTAGACAGAAAGTCCCTGGGAAGCCACTGGGGAGTTTTTCAGAGTACAGTGACATAATCCAACTTGTTTTTCCTAAAGATCCCTCTGATTGCCAGATAGAGAGTACGTAGTCATATGCTCCTACATTCATTCAAGCAAAATATTAATCAGCCAGTAGCAGGGGTAGGTACTGGGATAATCACATTATAATTAGAAGAAAAGGTCTTTTCAGTGATCTTCAGCCTCTATAGGACTTTCTAGCCATAGGGGTAGGCAGGGCAGTCTTAGAACTTAGTGACTGGCTAATGAAGGGCACTTGTAATGGCTGGAGATAGTTTCTGTTTCTTCTTCCAGAACACAGAGGGGTTAGATATCTAAAGTCCACTTCCATCTTGAACATCTATGCTGTAAAAGTTCCAGCTCCACAGACTGACATCTTTTCTCTCCTCCCTTAGACTGAAACAGCCTCGAGCCAGGAAGATGTTAGATGAAGGTGTCATCGTTGCTCTTGGCAGTGACTTCAACCCCAATGCCTATTGCTTTTCAATGGTAATTATTTTTAGTGTGTCTTTTTTTTTTCTTTTTTTAAGATTTATTTATTTATTTATACAAACACTGGGTACAGTCAGAAGCGTGGGAGGGTGAGAGAATTCACCAGAGCCAGAGGGGAGAGCAGAGCAGGCAGACTGACAGTGTACACTGCTGAGGGGAGCAGCGGGCGGCAGGAGAGGTCTGCGCGCCATGTGGGACCCTCGCCTGGTGGCCGGGGATCGAACTGGCACTACAGAGGCTGCTGGCAGCTTCGCCGCAGCCCAGCGCTCAACCGCTGCGCCACCAGGGGAGGCCCTAGTGTGTCTTTCTGAGCAGAGTATCTCACTTCTACCAAATGTATCAATAATTAAAAAATAGTTAACTGTTAAAATGAATCAAAGAGCTAAAAACATTTCCTGTAAAACGAGAAAAAGGTGTCAACCATAGAATGCTTGGATATTTCTGTGTCAATAATCACTTGCAGACTCAGCGAAGATTGTTTTCTGATTCAGCCTTGAGTATTGTAATTTTACAATAATCTATTTCCCCTCTTGAGGAATAGAATAAGCTCAAGGAAGTTTTAGTAAGTGGGGGTGGATGAGGACTTTAACTTAATAGTAAGTGGTCTTGAAAAGTTGTAAATGAATATTAGATGCACATGGTGGGGACAGGAATCTATAATAAAAGAACCTTTTCCAAAGCATAAGAACCTTTATATGAGAATATAAATTTTCCTCTCCCAGTGTAGCCAATTCCACTTACACATTTAACCTCCTTTATTTGTTCTGCTGTGTTGAAAATGTCCGAGGTAACAGCTGCCGTTTTTTTTGTTTCCTCCAATGCTTTTCTCTTCCTGTCTTAGCCCATGGTCATGCATCTGGCTTGTGTAAACATGAGGATGTCCATGCCGGAGGCCTTGGCCGCTGCCACCATCAATGCAGCTTATGCATTGGGAAAATCTCACACGCATGGATCTTTGGAAGTTGGCAAACAGGGTGATCTCATTATCATTAATTCATCCAGGTAACTGTTCTCCCAGCTGAGCTCTCTTATGCCTTTTATAATAATAGACTTCTTCCAAATCCTTTTTTCCTAATTATTAGTGCCAGGCTCTGTGTAGACTCGAAGCTCCCAGTCCCCTCTGTCATCACCATTTCCCTTAATAGGGACCCTACAGGTTCAGATCTTCAGGGAAGATCAAGTTTCCTGGTGTCTTCATTTGTCTTACATTTTTCATAGATCTCCAGGTTTCCGTTCTGTCGACCTGGACCTTGGACTTGTGCCCTCTGGCATGTGTTTTGTTTTTCTTCTTGGCTTTCACTTCTGTTTGCTCTGAGCCGCCCAGCTCCCAATTTCAGTTTGTCACCTTGGTTCTGATTCATTACCTCCCTGGCTTCTCGTTCCTTTTGGTTTCCCAAAGCCTTGCTTCAGTTTTCCTGCCTTTGGTTTCTTGTTACTCACAATCTGCTACCTCCTGTCTCCAGTGTGACAGTTTGGGTCTTACTATTCTGAATCTTAAGGTTGTAAGTCCTGTAGTTCCTTGATACCTGTGTTATCATAGCCCTCGTGCAGAACTTCTTCTTCAGAAGGAAAGCGCGGCTCTATAATTCTACACACTGTGGTCTTGCTCTCTGTTAAAAATAATGTTGACTTTCCATTCATGCATCCCTTAATTGAATCAAATACTTGATGATCAACTACTTATATAACATCATTAAGATAATATTCAATTTATCATAGGCTAGTTATGTGATATTTTAAAAAGCCTAAATATCGACAACTCAATGTGAAGGAATTTTTAGAGAATGTGTTTTTAAATTTCTTGACATTTTAAATTTGTAGCATTTGTTGACAACATGATCATTTTGACTTGTTTGCACTGAAATAATGTTTGATTTCTTTCTAGATGGGAGCACTTGATTTACCAGTTTGGAGGCCATCATGAATTAATTGAATATGTTATAACTAAAGGAAAAGTCATCTATAAGAAATGATACATCCTAAAGGAAAGAGAACACTGTGTAAAAGCAGTCCAAACAGTTATCTTAAAGTTAAAATATTTTATCAGAATGATGTCGCTTAAATATAGTTCAGTGTTTTGTTAATCTACTTGAAAAACCCAAGGAATTAATGAGTTTTAATTTAATATGTGTACCTAGACACATAAACAGATAAATTGATTGTGATGATAATCTCCAAATATTAAGTTTTTTCACAAAGATATGTGATACAGACTCTGAAGATGAAAATGATGGAGCATTAGAAAAATGCATTTTGGGGGAAAAGCAGATTGGCAATTAGGTAGAGATGGTTTGAAATTCCCATTTGTTTCTGCTTTTCAAATTTTAGCTTTTTAAACAATATTTAGTGAAAATTGGGAGAGGGAGGGAAATTCAAGCACTATGCCCCAGATTAAGCTAAAATGTCACCTTTTGTAATACACAAGTAGTTTTTCCTTTTCCCACATAGTTTGTCTTATTAGGTGCCCTTCAAATACCCCAGGATCCCCTGAGGAAGAGTGAACCTCTATTTCTAATTTCTTCACTACACTTGTCACAGAGCTTCACAGCAAATTCCCAAGACCCATCATTTTATGCATGGGTGCAGTGGCCTTCTGTAATGGGTACATGTTCATGAAATCCAAGAATTCAACTTTTTTGGAAATTGCTTTTGATTCTTCACTTTCAAAATGTGTCACAAACATGGTATAGCTCTCAATAAATATTTTATCTACTATTGTTTCCTTCCAGCTCAAAAACCTGATCAGCAATGTTGTCTATTGGAACATTTTAGGAAATGAACAAATTATAGATTTATCCATAAAGAAAAAGTGGGTGTTTATTTACATGCAGCCATCTGAGTTGACTTGAAATCTTTGAAAATGTCTTCATCATCTTCATGGTTAGAACTACATTAGCTAACTGTCCTATTTATGAGGAAATGACTTGAGAAGTAGGCATTAGCTATCCAAATTCTCACCCATCGCAGGTTAATAGAGTCTGAATCAGAGGGTTTAACTGAATGCAGTAAAAGCCCAGTCACCAGCTCCCTCGTGGAGAGGGAAAGAGTAACATTGTGTGGGGCAGCAGAAGCCAGAGGTGGCTGGAGCTCTGTCCCCGATAAGTCTGGTGAAGGAGTCTTTGCCAAGAAGGGGTGTGTGAGGCACGTGGCTGCTGTGTGTGATTTCTCTCTTATGACTAATCACCTAGCCCACGGAGGAGTTTGGGATGCAAGGGAGAGCTATAAAGGCCAACAAAATGTATTAGGTCTCTCCTGGATCCTTGCACCTATGGCTGAAGAAGGTGAAGCCCATCCTGTTTTCTTGACCCTGGAGGGTAATGACAGCAGAAGAGGAGAGCCACACAGAATTGCCTTAGCACCTTTGCATCTCCTGGGGGCTTGCGAGAAATGTGGGATCTTGGCCCCATCCCAGACCTGCTGAATCGGAGCCTGCATGTTAACAACGAATGGCTGCACAAACTTGCAGATAGTCACAGTAACACCACTTTAGAATACACTGAGCAGCCAATCCAGGGACGCAATATTAAGGAAAATCTTGCCTTGTGGCTTTGAAAGAGCATGTGCCTCCCTTAATATAAGATATTCTGAAACATGAAGCCACATGTTTTCCATGTGGTTCTGCTGAAGCTACTGCAGATGCCCAGATGGTTCCAACAACCACTGCACCACAGCGAGCTCTTCCATGCACCCTAGACACCCAGGGATGTTTGTGCTGGTAGAGGTTTGCATCCCCTACTGCATCATTAGCATGAATTCCCGTGCTCTTAAAGACCTGGCTCTCCTTACTCCCAACCTTCCCACCCTACACATTGCTATTGTCGAATCCTTTGGCTCACTGTCAAGGCTGTAACGTGATTGCAAGGACCAGGGTCATCTTGGTCGCCATTTGTTTAATGATAGGACTTGACCAATTATAGAATTGGTTTCCTGGGATAAGCTTATACCTCCTTCTCCCTTCTCTCTGACTCCCATCACTCCAGGCCCAGCTCATCATCACCTCCCGGATGACCCAGTTGTGCTGTAGTTACTATGCCTTCCTCTCAGACTCAAGCTTGGTACAGTTGCTGTTATCTTGTGTCCCCAACTAGATGAAAAGCCTTTGAATACAGGATCACATATTGCATTGGTATGTAATATGTGATATTATGTAATATGCTGTACCCTACTCCGGTATGTAATATGCTGTACCCTACTCCGGTACAGCACTGCACGAACAGTGCTAGGTAGGATGCTAACGGCTACAGGTGCCAGTATCTGACTGTAATAACTTAAAGAATGAGTAAATACACCAGTTCAGCATTGACATTCAGAAAGGTGGGCTTCAGGAATGTTTATCCTGCAACTCAGTGATGTTGAAGACCCAGATGCCTTCCCTCCTCTGCTCTGCTATCCAGCCTTGGCATCACTGCCAGTACAGGCTGCCTCCTGGGCAGGGCTTGCTGTGCACAGCCAGAAAGATTTAGTCGATGATTGCTAACACTCATCGAGCTCTTTGCCTCCTCTTTCAGGCCAATCAGCAGGGTGAGAAGGGCTGGCTTTGTCATAAGAAAACATTTGCAAGAAGCTTCCAGTAAAAACTTCTCTGGTTCAAATGGCAATGTCAACCCTAATCAACTAATCATTAAGCAAAGGGAATGGGATAATCTTCAGATGACCCACACCTACAGAATGAGCTGAAATACATTTTACCAACTCTCCTGCTTTGTTTTGTTTTTTGATATGTCTTCAACGTGTGCATATAATAAATTAATACCTCCTACAAAAATAACCTTTGGAATATTATTCATGACATAATTAGGAAGGTTGAATAAAAAGATAATAACCCAGGGACCAGATACAGAAATAAGTAACACGTTTAAAGCTATAATGAAAAGTATCCTCTCGTGGCTTTTTAGGGTATGTATGGGATTTTGTGAATGTGATAGATTATTTCGGGAATGGTCCCCAAGTCTTGCCAAACCGTATGTCCATGTCGGTGAGTATTACTTTTACAAATTGACTTGGGCTTGATTTGTGACTCGCTTTGGCCAACAGGATATTAGCAAATTGTGGGTCACAGCAGAAGCTTCCAAAAGTCCCTGTGCTGTGGGGCTTTTCCTTGGCTACCCCTAGACAGCAGGCGAAGAGACTCAGCTAAGTTTCCTCAGGAGAAAATCCCAAAGCCTCCAACTCTGGCTGCCACTCCATGGGAGAGCACAGCAGGTCAGTCACTTGTTCTAAAGACACTTTTGAAAGTGTTAGCACTCACTGACTAAATCTTTCAGAAATAAAATCAACTGTAGCCAGAATAGCCTTTCTTTAAAAGGGGGCTAAATTTGTTTAACAAAATTTCTAAAAAATACAGCGATAATCTAAGACAATCAAAACTTAGTTTACTCCATCATTACCGGGACATTGTCTTAAAGGCGTGCGATGTCAGTTACTAACAGAGATGCCTAGAAAACTCAAAGACAAAGCACCCCAAGATCCCGGGGGACCCAGCACTCACTGCCCTGGCCGGAAGGGCAACCTCACACCCTGGAGGTCACTGACTCCACAGCAGCTCATGGATAAGAAATGAATAAACTTCGTTCGTATGTGTTTACCTTTTGGCAAAAAAGAGCATCAAGAACAGCCCTTCGGTCAACAGTTCCTCAGCACATTTTTGTTCACTAAATTGCTGCAGGCAGCACTTTCAACTCCTGTCCCCACCTTTCCTGTGCACAGGTTGCAACCCGCGGTGTGAAAACACTGTTGTGAAATCCATCATTGGACGCACTGGAGGCTGCCGGCAGGCAGGCAGGCAGGCTGGCCGGGTGTCTGTCCTACCCTCACCCAGCTGCGGTTCTCAGAGCCAGGGTTTCAGCCTCCTCCACTCGCAGTGCCTGGTGGACCTGTACACATGGTGAGGTCATCTCAGCCCTCGGAGCCGAGGGGCCCTCGGGCGCATCTTCATCCAGACAAATACACTTAATCCTTCCCCAAAAGTCCTTTGTCTTCTTTGGTGGGAGGAAACAGATTGGGTAACACATCCTAGGGTCGCATCTGACCTTTGTCAATGGAGCCTCATTTTAATGATTACCATACAGAGACAGCTTTAACGTCTAAACTTCAGATTCTTGCTCTGTGAACAGAGATAGCTTCTGAGCTCAGGTGATTGTGGGAATGTGAGTAGAGAACTAACACACAGTAAGACTGAGATCACCACGAACCTCCGGCTCCACAGGAAGCCTGTGAATCCCTTATTCCGATACGTGTGGGGTATTTGATAAACGCGAAATGCACAGTTCAATGAGGTTCCCTAACAGCAAGCTTTATTGTCATTCCTTAACTCTTTACACAAAAGCTTTTGTTGATCGATTGACTAGTTTTTGACTATGACTCAATAGAAGAAAGAACAATTGAAGGATAAATGATACGTTGAAATGTTTATTTGCGAAGGCATATTAAGGACGTCACCCTAGAGCATAGTATGATCAGTTAAAGTTAACCAGTAGAGACTTGTCAAAGCAAAAAAGAAGAAAGATTCACAAGAGTCTAACATTTGGGGGAAAGAACACAAAGAATGCTGTTCATCTGTTTCCAGATTTGGGTTCATCTAATGCTGAGAGTAAAAGACCGCACACTTGTGGTTACTCTTCTCACCCTTAAGAGCGAGTGGCCTGTTGATATTGTTAAGAGAGAAAGAAAACTCGGATGGTCTGAAAACACCTGATGTGTCTCAAACCAGGTCAACCAGACACAGGGTGAGATTCAGCAGCTGTCACATAGGCCCCAGCCGAACCCAAGTCCGTTTTAGAAGAATTGAATTAACACAATGGATTGATCTAGGAAAGTTTTGGGGTCTTCCCTTCAGCATAAATGGCTTGTGTTAAGCTAAGTAACATCTAATCTGCTAATCTATGACAAAACCCATTAGAGATCCCCAGACTCAGGGATCATGGTGAATTTCTTGTTTAGAGATTCCAGTGAGAAGGCGGTTGGAGAGATAGGTCTTGATTCTGGAATATGCTCCATTCTGTATTTTTCGATGTATGGTGCAGCCACTTCCCACACCTGAGAAGCAAGGATTAAACAGCAGGGAGGTTGACATTATTCTCACATGTCGTTAAACAGCAACTTCATCTGAAGTCAAAACATTTTCTATATCTGATTAGACAAGCCACAGCTGCTTGCTAGCTTTTTTTGAAGCATTAGACACACGATCTGTGCCAATGAGGCTTTGGTTGTATTAACAGCTTTTAAAGTACAAAGTTTAATACTTTTCTAAAGTGACCATGGAGGTTTTCAGTCGTGTACTCTTCTGTAGCAAAACAAGCAAACAAGCAGCACCTAAAGAACTCAGTGTGGACAGAATGAAGGGAAGTTGCTCAAGCTGGGTGTTTCCTCCAGCATGTCTTGAAGGCTGAGAGGTAGTAGCAGCCACAGGCGCTCTCCTGCCTGTGCTGTCCCTTTGACCTTTGCTACACAAAGGGAAGCCTGTGCACCAGCAGCTCCAGCATCACCCGGGACAAGTTAGAAATACAGTCCCACTCAGGACCAACTGAATCCAAATCTGTACTTTGACGAGATCCTCACGTACACTGCACCATGAGAAGCACTGCCTCTGACCTCTACCCACCAACCTACTCTCTCTCGAGCATGACATCTCAAACAACACCTCCCTGGTGGAGCAAGGGGTTAAGATACAGCACTATGAAGCTATCGGCAGCCACTGCAGCACAAGTTCGATCCCCAGCAGCTAACCTTATGGCACAGCAGACCTCTCCTGACTCCCCTGCTGCTCCTCTCAGCAGTGTGCCTGTTTCAGTCAGTCTGCCTGTTCTGCTCCCCGCTCTGTCTCCGGTGAATCCTCTCACCACCCCCACCCTGCACCTCTGGCCTACACCCCAGCTCTTGCATGCATAAATAAATCTTTAAAAAAATAATACCCAAATTATAAATAAAAAATTAAAAAATAAAATTCAGCTCACTTCCAGTCCTCAGATATTCAAGGTTTAGTTGCTCTACGGGGCTTTTCGGAGTTTATCAATAGCTTCTGGATGGCCTTGCAAGTTTTGTAAGCACATTTTTGTTCACTTCCAGGAATAGCCAGGAAGGAAAAGAATAAGACCATGCTGCTCCACTCCCCACTCCCAGTGTACGGTCCCAGAAGACCCCAGGCTAAGAAGTAAGCCAGCTTGCCTTCTGATCCACCAGCAGCCTGTGCGCCGCCTCGATGTCGGGGGCCATGAAGCGGTCTTTTATCCAGGGCCTGCAGGGGAAGACAAGTGGAAATGCCATCAGCCAAACCATCAGGCAAACAATCGCGCTGCCAGGGCTGGTGCGTCCGCGATGCTGTTGGACCTTACCTGACCACAGAGCGCACCAGGTCATAGACCTTCTCCAGGGGAGTGGTTGTTCTCAAGGGGCGCAGGAACTCGATCCCCTGGCAGGCTGCAAGGAGCTCGATGGCCAGCACTAAGACAGGAATCACGTAGGGCAGGGCTGATTAAAGACTGACTTTGAGCTTCAGGGATTTAAATCACATAGAAGTTGGCAGCCAGATGGTTGGTTCTCTGTCTATTGGTAGAATAAACCCACCTAGGCATTTGGTGACCATTTAAACCTGCCTTTTTAACCTCTTGACAGCATCTTTAATGGTGAGAAGGGGAAAATGAGACACTTACCTGGACAGATTATGGGATCCCCAAACCCAGCTAGGGAGGTGTCCCTTATCTGTACTAGTGAAAACTGCCATTTGTCTCGATCTCAACCCAGAGGCCAGCTTTGAGTCATGTGGGCAGGGGAGAAAATCAAAAAGACTTCCTGACCCTGATCCTGAGCTCCAGCTCAAGGGTTTCTGATTCAGCAGGTCCGAAAATCTGCCTTTCTAAAAAATTCCCTGGCGATGCTGATGCAGTCAATGGGGATTGCACTTTGAGAGTCGCTGGCAGAGGGGAGCTGACCAGCAACATCTGAGGATGTAGAGAAATCAGATCTCTCACTCTGCTGGTAGGAGGGTGACATGGAGGAGGCATTTTGGAAAACAGTCTGACAGTTCTTCAGAAAGATGTATAGAGAGTCATCATATGACCCAGCAATTCCACTCTGAAGAAATGACACAAACGCTTACAGAAAAATCTGTACACAGGTGTCACAGGGATTAAATTCTCCTCCCTGGTGACACAGGGATTAAATTCTCAGCACTATCAAGCTATTGGCAGCCACTACAACATGAGTTTGATCCCCAGCCAGGGAGCTACCCACATGGTGCAGCAGACCTCTCCTGTCTCGCCTGCTGCTCCCCTCAGCAGTGTATTTCAGTCAGTCTGCCTGTTCTGTTCCCCACTCTGGTGAATCCCCGCACGTCTGGCCTGCACCCCAGTTCTTGTATGTATAAATATTTTTTTTTTAAAAAAATCTGTACACAGTTCACAGCAGCATCATTCAAATTAGGGAAAAGGTGGGCAGAACTAGAAGTCCCTCACCGACGGACAGGTAGACAGAAGGTGGTCTGTCTATGCCAGGCAGTATGATGCGGCCATAGCAAGGAATCAAGTACTGACGTGCTACATCAAAAATGGACCTTGCACATAGGATGCTATGTGAACAGTCACTTGCAAAGGGCCACCTTTTGAATAATTTCACTTATGTGAAATGTCCAGAACAGGCAAATCTATGGAGAGAGAAAGTACAGTAGTGGCTGCTGAGGCCTGGGCTCAGGTGTGCAGAAAATGGGAGAGTGACAGGTAAGGGGTACAAGTTTTCTGTTGGGGGTGATGAAAGCATTTTAAAAGTAATTGTGGAAATCATTTCCCCCACTCTGGATATTAAAAAGAAAACAAAAACAGCAATATATGGTATACTTTAAATGGATAAATTATAAGGCAAGTGAATTGTATCTCAATACAGACATTACCAAAAAAAAAAAAAAGAACATTCCACGCTCCCATTTATCTTAAAATAGTAACATTCCTTTGAGAGCCAACTGTTTCCAATACAGTTGCAAAAACCTAGGTAACAATGCCTAAAGGAAAGCCGGCTCCTTTCAAAAACACTTAGCAAGCAGTAATTAAGAAGGCAGGTTGAGGTTGGCTGACACAGCTCCACCTGTGAGGTATCTTTGCCAAAAAGGTTGGCCCTCAGCTAGTTAAGCGTTTAGGGGCCAACTGCAACGTGCAGGAAGTAAATGGGACAGAGGCGAAGTCAGCAGTAACTCCGCATGGAAGCTAAGAGGTAAGTCCAGAATATCACCTCCTAGTAGAAAGGTGACCTATTTTTTAAACTAGTCAATGGCATGACTAAAAAATGAGGATGGGGGTGATGGGTGGAGAGGAAACTGCTGTAGATGAAATGTTGCTTAAAACCTCACCGTGAAATTTAAAACGTGGACCTTGAATCCTGATGTGAGCAGACCTTTTGTAAACACATTGAGATCATGCGGGACAGTTAAATATGTTCTCGGGGAAGATACTAAGACTTGTTGATTTCTGGTGGGCATGGCGATGGAATCGTGTTGGATACGAAAGGATATAAGACAAACAGTACGCAGGAGGAAAGAATATGGTGGTGATTCGCTAGCAACTAATTCGAGAAAAATAAAAGCAAAAAATGAAGCGAATGGGCTCACTTTGGTTAAACGAGAGCGAGGTGTGTAGATGAACAACGAGGTTTTGCTTTTGAATGTTTTTAAAAACCTTAATTTTAAAAAAGCCAGCCATTGAACTGGCTCAGCCAGTGGGTGTGATTCCTAATTGTCAGCAAGCATCAGAATCATCAGAATCGCTTGGGGGCTTGTGAAGCCTCGCTTGCCTGACTTTCTCCCCAGAGCTCCTGAGTCAGCAGGCCTGGGAGAATCTGCCTTTCTAGCAAGAGTCCTGGTGAGGCCAGTGCTCTGAGGGGGATTCCACTGAGAACCACTGTCACAGTCACTCCCCAGAGAGTCCTGAGCCCCATCCTGGCCGGAGTTACCTTGCTCCACGTGCTCAATGACCCTGAGTGCCTTCCTGGCTGCCCATCCTCCCATGGAGACGTGGTCCTCGGTGGCGGCGCTGGTGGAGAGAGAATCCACAGACGAGGGATGGCACAGGGCTTTGTTCTCAGAAACTGCAAGAGGTCAGAGCAAGTTAACATGTATGCTCCGGACGGGAAAAATGCCAGCGCGACATGAGGCTCCCCAGGGTGCTCCTTGGCGCAGTGCATCCTGTCCAGGAACTCCTGGTCACCATCCAAGCACTAGATGGCCCAAAATTACTTTGGGAAAAGGAAGAGATTTTTTTTTTTTTTCTTTCCAAAGTGAGAGGGACTATAAAGCTGTAATGAGTTGAGACATAAAACTGGGCTGTGGAGCAGCAAACCCTATAATTACAAAAGCAAACTGCAAACACTGCAAGCAACTAGCACACCAGGGAGAGGAGGGAAAATAAACATGGTGGTCATTTCTAGGTACTCGAGAGCAATTTGACCGGTTGTGACACCAGAGGAGGAGGGATTAAAATTCAGGCATGGCATTTGAGGGGGGACCACAGATTTTAAGATTTAATGGTTTAGGCTGTTTGATGATGGCATAGGCAGATGAGCTGTGTTTAAGCAAGGCCTTGGTGACTGGCAGGTATCTGGGAGAGGTGAAGGAAATCCTAGAGAGAGCCGAGATTGGCATCTCAGACTTCATTGTGTGTATGAGTCTCTCAATCTTGTTAAAATGCAAATGCTAAATTTCAGCTGGGGCCTGAGATTCTGCTGTCCCCATAAACTGTATTTCTGGATCACACCTGAAGGAGCAAGGCCCTAGATTACTAAATTCCTTATCCCCAGTTTGAAAGCCAGAAAAAGTCAAATTTGAAAGAATCTTTTTTCTCTTTTTTTATTTAACTTCCAGAGCAGCTCTGAGTGAAACTTCCATTGTTTTCTGTGCTACTGTAGGGCTTTGGGATAATCCAGCTAAATCATCCAGCTAGGGAGATCAGCTTGTCCTGGCTGACAGAGAGTTTTCCCGCCTTCAGCACATGTCCCTGGACCTGGGACCCTATCCTGCTATATGGATAAACAAGTTCTAGCGAGGCTCATCCAAAGAGATAACTCACAAGTACTCCCCTCAAAAGAAATTGCAATGAATAACTTCAACAGGAAGCTAGAGATGCTGAACACACTTAAATGAAGCTTCCCTAAGCTCAAAATATTCTCTAGAAATCAATTACCACAACCTCCCCCCAACCCCCATGTTAATGTGAGAACTTGCTACCCTTCAAGGGGTATTTCAAAAAGGAAGCGAGTGAGCAAATAGTAGATACTGGTCACAGGAGAGGTGAACTCAGTGACTCTTCGAATTACTCATATTGAGTTTCCGTGTGAAGCTTAAGGAAGGAAAAGCTTAGGAGTAATATTAATAGCAACTAATATTTAGCACTTATAACATGGAACTAAAGTATAGTACTAGGGCTTTACATGCATTAATTCTTTAATCCTCAAAACAGCCCCTTAGGTGAATTTATCATCCCTGTTTTACACAGGAGTTAGCTGAAGGCCAACAAGATTAAAAGCTTGTTTCATAACACAGTTGGTTAGTGCCAGAGCCGGGATTCAGATCTTTAACTTAATTTGTACTATGCTATCCTGCTTCTTGGGTAGGTTTGCTGGAAAAAATACTGGCTGTTCAGTTAAATTTGAATGTCAGATAAAAAAATAATATCTTAGTACTAGTATGTCCTAAATAATTCAATTTAACTGAACATCTTGCATTTCTATTCGTTCATTTTCACAACTATATTTCAGGGTTAAGTATTGGTTAAAATGAGAGTCTCATTCATTGAAGTGAGAGCACAAATGCTTGGGTTTGTATTCTGCTCTAGTTCTTACTAGTTGTGAAATTTTGGGTAAGTGACTTTATTTCTCAGATCTTCCGTTATTCATCTGAGAAATGAAGGTAATGTTTGTACCTGCCTAGTACTGTTGCTCTGACATTGATAAGTGGAGATAAGTGAAACTCTTAGCCTCTGTGCTGGGGCCTGCCCTGTAGGTTACTTATCTGTCTCTTATAATCTTGACTCAGAAATCAGCTGTTTCCTTAGAGGACAAATTGCCTTTTCGAAGCATTTTGTAATCACATCTTTACGTTTTTAATGATTGGTATAGGTAATGAAATATATCCAGTTTTTAATCATTCAGGTTGGTTTAGCTTCTCCATGAACGACAAACATCTTTGTCTTTTTCTTTCTGATAGACTTCAAATTGAGATTAGAGGAAAAGCTACAAAGTTCACATGTGATATCAAATTGCTTTCTACAGAGAAATATGGAAGCCTCTTTATGTACAACCTCATTATTGTATTATTATATTTTAGCAGATACTTGCTTAGGATTTATTTATATTTGTTTCCTAAAAAGTATTTAAAGATGTAAAAAGTATTAAACAGACAAACTTCTACAATTGTATTGAGGGAGGGAGCGGACAAATGGAGGTGGTGAAGAAGGTAGATCTCATTCAAAGACAAAACATCTCAGGTAAAATGGAGATGCCCTTAGCTAGATGATAGCCTGTGTTCTGGGGAGGAGGCTGTCTTCTTACCGAGGGCTGCAGCTGTGCAGTGGGCTATCATGAATCCAGAGTTCAGACCACCTTCAGCCACCAGGAAGGCAGGCAACTCGCTGAGGGAGGGGTTACAGAGCCTTTCGATTCTTCTTTCGCTAATTGCGGCAAGTTCATGGATGCCAATGGCCAAATAGTCGAGGGCCTGAAAGAGCATCTCAGTTCAGTTGGCCTGTACTGGAATATAGTTTCAGAAGCAAAAGGAATTCTAAGAGGCTTACTTTGGCTGGGTATTCACCATGGAAGTTTCCTCCAGAAATAGTTTCTCCCCTACTGGCAAAGACCATCTTTCAAAGCAGGTTAAGGCTTGAACATGACATTTGCCGATCACTTTAAGATAACCCTTTCCCCAATCTGCTTAATTTTAACATTGAGGTGATAGCCTTTGCACACATGTGGGTGGAGAAGAGTCTTCCTGCAAGCACTTGTTGACATAAAAAGACACAAAAGCAAAAGATGAATCATTTATACCCAATGGGAGCCAGAGAAACACAGACCATGAAATGCTGGTTTCTTTTGAGATCAGAGACCCTCAAGCACAACCATACCAAGGGGGAGATAAAACCAGAGTTCATGGGTTGAGCACAGTGCTGTGAAGCTGTCTGCAGCCTCTGCAGCACCAGTTCGATCCCGGCCAGTTCGGGTCCCACATGGCACAGCAGACCTCTTCTGCCGCGCCCGCTGCTCCCCTCACCAGTGTATTTCATCAGTCTGCCTGTTCTGTTCCCCACTCTGTCTCTGGTGAATCCTCTCACCCTCCCGCGAATCTGGCCTATACCCTGGTTCTTGTATAAATAAATAAATAAATCTTTAAAAAACAAAAAACAAAAAAACTAGAGTTCATGACACTCCTACTCCACTTTGAGTAGTGGTGTTGAGGTAAGTTAGTGAGTTGAGGACTATTTCATGAGTGTTTAACTTAACTGTAAAACAATCTGAGAGGACACAGATCACACAGCTGAAGTAAGTCTCTCAGAGGAGCTGTGGTAAAGGTCTTGTAAGGAACATTACTCAACTGCTGTGAAACTCATCTGCTGACTCAGGCTGTGACCTGCATCCAGGGCTGACAATTCAGCACTTTCTCTGTGTTAAGAACTGAGGCAGACATGGAACAGGAAGAAAAATATTTCTGTGGTCTTCAAAGGTAGTGTTGGCTCCATGAAGACTTCATCAGTATGCCTCCTGGCTAATCACACCCACTTCTGGAAGAACTAAGGCATCACAAAACATTCCCCAGCAAAAGCAAGATGGTTCTGGGATACCCACTCCATGAAGGAAAGACGAGCTCCACCCTAGAGGAATGGGTTTTTCCATATTTGAATAAAGTTCATGTCAGAAATAATAACCCAGGATGGGGAAAGCTATAACTCGGATCAAATGCTGAAAGGCTACTTTCTGTTTAATGCCTATAGCATTGCTAGAACCAGGAAGGCATAAATGCCAGCCTGCACAGGGTCTTCATAATCACATTTGGGATGTGGATCTTCATTCTTCCAACAATAACCGCAGCCCTGTGTCTAGGGCAAATGTCTCCATGAAACCACCTAGCCAAGGCTGGAATTACTGTCTTCAATCTTTGATGGGTGCATTTTGAAAGCACAGCATGTTAGACTTGGAAGCCAAGATCAGGTTCACAGACCTGACTTTGCCACTTATCAGCTCTGACGTGGAAAAAGTCACTTAATCTCTGAGCCACAGGGACTTAATCTATGCAAAGGAGTGACAGAACAGAGATACTATGCAAAGGATCACTTCTGCCAATCCTAAATTACCAGCTGGAATTCTCTAATGACAGCTTAGTAGACAGTCAAAAGATACAGGATTATCTGTGGCACTGTTAAGTTCTGTGGTAATGATGCTCTTCACAAATGCTATTGTGTCATTCACCACACCATGGACCTAAAATAAAAGATTAAGTGGATTAATACATGGAAGACACTGGTAAAGGTGCCTACCAATTGAGTCTGCTATTCCCTAGTTTGGCAATTCTTCCCCAGAGACATTTTCCATCTAACTAGCAGGAATGAAATGTGTCTAATAAAGGCAGTGGGGTATTTACTCCAGGAAGGGCTCTTTGTTACACCATAGATGGTAACTTGGCAGAAACTGAACTCTAGTTTCACTCTTTAGATGAAAATCTTAGCTGTTAATTCATTTAATCATCATATGCAAATCAAGATGCCCAAGGCCAGCCCATGCCACTTGTACACTGTATTTAAAATTAAGCCTCGGGCCTCCCCGGTGGCGCAGCGGTTGAGCGCTGGGTTGTGAAGCTGCCCGCAGCCTCTGCAGCGCCGGTTCGATCCCCGGCTGCTCCCCGGCCACCGGAGGAGGGCCCCATGTGGCGTGCAGACCTCTCCTGCCGCCCGCTGCTCCCCTCAGCAGTGTACTTCGGTCCTTCTGCCTGCTCTGCTCCCTGCTCTGGCTCTGGTGAATTCTCTCACCCTCCCGCACTTCTGACTGTACCCAGTGCATGTATAAACAAACAAACAAATAAAGAAAGAAAGAAAACATGCCTCTATTAAAAAAAAAAAAAAAATTAAAAAAAAAAAAAATAAAATTAAGCCTCATAGAGCTTCTGCACAGCAAAAGAGACAATAACAAAAACAAAGAGAAACCCCACCAACTGGGAGAACATTTTTGCACCCAACACTAATGATAAAGGACTGATCACAAAAATCTGCAAAGAGCTGATGAGACTCAACAACAACAAAGAAAATAACCCAGTCAAAAAATGGGCAGAAGAGCTAAAAAGAAACTTCTCTGAAGAGGAAATGCAAATGGCCAACTGGCATATGAAAAAATGTTCAGCATAACTTGTAATCAGGGAAATGCAAATCAAAACTACCATGAGATACCATCTCACACCAGTGAGAATGGCACATATTAAAAAAACTAGCAACAACAAATGTTGGCGAGGGTATGGAGAAAAAGGAACTCTTCTGCACTGTTGGTGGGCATGCAAACTGGTCCAACCACTATGGAGAGCTGTGTGGAGATTTCTGGACCTACTAAACATAGAGCTTCCATAGGATCCAGCAATTCCACTCCTAGGTATTTACCCAAAGGACACAAAAACATCAATTCCAAAGAGCACCTGCACCCCTATGTTTATAGCAGCACTATTTACAATAGCTAAGCTTTGGAAACAGCCCAAATGCCCAAAAATAGATGACTGGATCAAGAAGATGTGGTACATATATACCATGGAATATTACTCAGCATTCAAAAAGATAAACACATGCATTTTGCAGCAACACGGATGGCACTGGAAGGGATCATGCTCAACGAAATAAGCCAGAAAGAAAAAGAAAAATACCGGATGGTCTCACTCATAGCAGGAATCTAGAAAACTTAAATAAGGGACCAGGAAAATGAATAACTATAAGAAAGTCAAAATCAAAATCAAGAAAAAACTATGAACCAGAGACACTCTATGGGGGGTAGAGGGCGGGAGGGGAGGGCTTGGGGTCAAAATAAGGGGGTTGCAATTGTATGGGGATTATAAAAATAAAATTTATTATACAAAAATAAATAAAATTAAGCCTTATAAATAAATTAAGATTCAATTATAATTTATGTGTGTCTATAAAATGCAGATAAGATAGAAGCATAGATATGCACTTGAATTTTGATTAAACTATCTTGAGAACATCCTTGGTAGGCTGCTTCAAATGCCATCTAACCGGGAGGACCAGTAAAGTTCCATTAACTCATCAGAATTCTTATGGCTAAGAATTTTTTAAAGTTAGGATATTAAATTGACATAACAAGTTGTTGGCCTTCTGTACCAGGGGTATGAGCAGAGCAATTTAGAAGAAAATAGTTGCCCATATAGAATAGAAACTTTAACAACAATTGGAAATGATGGAAGTATGTCATACATGGTTTTTTAATAGAGGCAGTAAAGAAAGTTGCATTAGAATTGGCCATTACATGATGTTCTAACCCTCCCCCTTTATCAGTTCCCCCCCTGAATTAGAGGAAAGAAAAGAAACTGTTTGCTTACCTGTGGGCAGCAACGCATAGTGTAGGCATCCTGAACACGATCACAGAACCTGTGACTTTCTGGGGAAGAGGTGGAGGGGGTGACAGAGGACATATTATCAATTCTTTCCATGAGACACAACCAAATGAGCTTGCTCCCATACACATGCCCAGACCTGCTATTTCAGATGGGTGGTGATCTGAGTCCAAGAGCGACCGAAACCGAAATGCAACTTCAATTTGTCCACGATGAGGGCGAACCGCGTGAATGTCTAGAGTCAAGAGAGAGTAAATCTGAGCCATTCTTGCATTAGATTGACCTTCCATCAATGGCTCAGGACCATCCACCATGCTGACATGATCCTGAAAGTTCCCAGGGTCTCTACCACCACTCAGATACTTAACCCACAAAGCAAGATTTTCCTTCCTGACTTTATTCTTTTTACTTGAAATTTCCATGTATAAACAATGTGTTGATCCCACTGGGAATTCAACTCAGGACACTGGGTCCAATCTAAAAAGATTTTAGGCTCATAATAGATGGGATCTCCATAGTGGCCTAATTTAACTAAGTCTTTTCTAGTCAGTTTTTCTGTCCTACAACATTTAATAGTAGGAAGTCTTTCAAACCCACGACTTTCTTGATAAGCTACCACTTCCACAGTTTTCTCTCAATTTCCTAATGGGGACCAACCTTCATTCTACTCTTGTTCTAAACCCTGGGAGCAGATTCCTGAGACAACACATAGTTTGATGGGAGGCAGAGCTGGGTGATCTGGGGCCGATCACAAAACTCTCGGGATCAATGTCTGTAAAATGTGGTTGTTTCAAGGCTCAAAGGTGGTGTGACTTAGGTGAAGCTGTAGCATTATTGGGTGTGCCATCAACACTGGGGTTTTCTCCTTTCCTCCTACCCACTCCCATGAGCCTCATGTCCAATGACCTCAGTCAGCCCATCCCACCAGCTAAGGTGTGTAACAACCCAATGGAACCCTACTGACCTGTATCAAAGGCTCTGGTGGTGCCCTTGAGCACCTCAAGGGTCAAGGCTGCCACAATGTCAGCCTGCCGAGCAATAGCACTGGCTCTTTCCACGGCTTCACAGCCCAGGGAGGTGATCATCTGTGTCCCATTGATGAGCGCCAGACCCTTTGGGGAGGGAGAGAGAAGTTTCCTACTGGATTTGTTATAATAAACCTATCTACAAGTTGATTTCATCTCTTCCACTTCTGCAAGAGAAAAGCTAACCAGTTTGTTGAATGGTATTTATTCATATTGTCCGAAGTGTAGGACTGGGGGACTTGCTTAAGCAGTAGAGGATTAAGTGCCATCCTATGAGAATTCATTACTATTAAGTGTCCTTATTCTTGAGGCAGTAATGTAGCTCTTGTAAGAACTGCATGTAAAATCTTGAATGCTAAATTGTGCTGCATTTCTTCTTTAACTTCTCATCCTTGTAGGTAAGGCATCCTAGGACATTTCTGTTCCAAGACGCTCTTGGCTGAGAGCATCCTAAGGGAGTATAAACTGGCTGGGAGTATCTCTTAAGAATCCTTAGAGGTTCTGATTTGAAATTTATGTTCTTAAGAATAGAACTTCCCCCTAAGCTTGCATGGCATGAAGAATCTTTAAAATGCTTATGGAGGAACCCTTTCTCCAGCGACCAACTCTCAACAAATATATAAACCAGGTTTACTTTAAGAAACCTGTGAAGTTGATTATAAGACTGAAAATAGTGCATAAGTGAAGACTTATTCAAATGAACAAATCTTCCTTGAATTTCCTTACCTCTTTTGGCTTCAAAACAATTGGTTTCAATCCATGGGCTTCCAGGACCTGCGGAATGATTAAAAAGATAAAAGTGCATATCAGATGAAATATCAATCTATTTCTACTTTCATGTGGAACAAAAAACAAACAAACAAACAAACAAACAAAAAAACCCACAAAAAACTCTAAAGCACCAAAGACACCCTGTCTTAAAAAAAGAAAAGATTAGACCTACACACGTTAACTCTGTCCATGTCCTCTGATCGAGTCTCTGGCTCTATTCTTTAGTCTGAAAGCAGATTTATATCCACATAATTCTTGCACTTAAAACAGGGCTCTGTGTCTGCAGACTCAACACTGACTTTTGATTTATAGTGTCCATCTTGGTGAACTGCTCTGTTTTTTCCTGAACACATATGCACGCTTGACAGTCTGTCGACAGCACATCTCTCCAGAGCTTAACCTAAAAAGTCTTCACCCTCATCCTACTTATCTACACACTGGCAGGACCTTGGAGCAGGGTTTCTCCCTTGTGTGTTAAATGTGTGGGCACCGATAATGAGGGGATTATGGGCTGAATAGATGGAAACAGAATCTTGAGGACAAACAGGCAGGATAATCCCCCCCTGAAATAAAAGAAGGGAAAGCAATGGGTAAGGGAAGGTCCTTCTAGGGAAGAAGGAAAAGGGCCAGCGTGACGTATGATGTCGGTTGCACCAGTCTAGTGGAGTGCACCTTGCTCTCCACATCAGTTCTCGGTGTTGGGCTGGAGCTGGGGGTAGGAAAAATGGGAGACTGATGAGCTCGTGTGATAAGCGATCCCGGTGGTAGGAGGTGGGTTGGGTTGGTGGAAAATAATCACATGAGATGCCAGGAGAGACTAAAGGAGGGGCCATAGGGGCTTGGGGGAGATGGAAAAGAACCAGAGGAACAAAAAGGGAAGTTTCCTAAGGACTTATGAGAAGGAGAAACAGGAGTGAACAGGAGGGAGAAGAATGGATAGTGCTTGTCCTCCTGCAAGGACCCAGCACACTCCCAGTATAAGGACCTCCAGTTTTTTGTAATATCAAACTCCAGGGAGCAGGCAGTGGAGAGGCGGGTGACATGATAAACAAGACTCTGGTAAGTCACTTAAGACTTGAGTCTAAGGACAGGGGAAGGATCACAGGCTTTAACCAGGATGTGCTTGAATTTACTGTATGAAGGTAGTTGGGCAAACACTGTATACAGAGAAATAATCAAGAAAGGTGAGCTGGAACCTATATCCCTGGGAGGATTATCTGTTTCCTTAACTATTTCCTCCTCCTCAATCCTCTGCCCCTTCTTTTACTTTAGGATACCTCCCACAATTGATCAGAGATGACACTTCAAATAATTGTTTGGTTCTGGTGGAATTAAGAGATGAATTCAGATGAAGAAAACATTAAAGTTTTATGAAATCCAAGCCTTTCTGATTAGCCAATGGGTTGGGATTTTGGGGGTCAAATGGAAGCTGCTTTGCAGTACTCAGATTGTAAGTGCCAGGACCCACAGCTCTGCAGCTCTGAGATCAGCCACTAACTAAACTTGCAGCAGTGTGTGACCTCCCAGAGAGACATGGCCAGTGTCTTAGGTGCCTAATCAATCTCTGGGATTAACACTGGCAGCTGTACCTCCCCACCAAGGAGATTTTTAAGTCCAGAAAGCTGACAGTCGAGTAGGAAGCTAAGAGCGTTGTCTCATTTGACTTCTAAACTTCCATTTTTCCCTTAATAAAATGGGGATAATAATGGCCCCCTCCTTGGGCTACCATAAAGATGAAATGATATAAAGCATGCAGGACACCCTGGATCCAGCTTAGAGAAATTATCCCCGACTGAAGTTGTCATCAAGTCTTACGTATTTAGCGTCAGCCCAGCCACTCTTAGGAGACCACATCTTCCCTTCTCCAATTAGCCCAAGAGCAAGATGAGAGAGTGGGGCAAGGTCTCCACTGGCACCAACGGTTCCTTTTTCTGGAATGTAGGGCAGGCAGGAGGCTGGAGAGAAGTAGGGACCAGTTACTTCAAGAGTACCTCGTTCTGGTGCTCCTTGCTTTTCCAGTGAGATGAAGCTCCCCCAGTAGGATCTAGCATCACATCATGCCTAAACATCTGTGGAAAGATCATTTCTCAAGCACAGCTAATGCTTAGGATACCTAGCTGAGCTGCTATAGAGAAAAAGAGGTGAGAAAATAAGAACGACAGGAAAGGAAGGAGAGAAGACTGAACCCTCTCAGTTGCAAAACCTTCAAAATCTGATCTAGAAGTTTCCAGAAATTCTAGCAATATATCTTGAAGACACGATCATGAGCTAGCTATTGTTCATTGTGAATTTGTTTCTAAGAACAAAAAGTTAGACATGGGGCCTCCCCGGTGGCGCAGTGGTTGAGCGCTGGGTTGCGAAGCTGCCCGCAGCCTCTGCGGCACCGGTTCGATCCCTGGCTGCTCCCCGGCCACCGGAGGAGGGTCCCACATGGCGCGCAGACCCCTCCTGCTGCCCGCTGCTCCCCTCAGCAGTGTACTTCGGTCCTTCTGCCTGCTCTGCTCCCCGCTCTGGCTCTGGTGAATTCTCTCACCCTCCCGCGCTTCTGACTGTACCCAGTGCTTGTATAAACAAAACAAACAAATAAATAAATTAATTAAAAAAAAAAGTTAGACATGATCTAAACATGGAATTAAGAAACTTTCATGTGATCAAATTGTATGTAATTATTAAAAGCTTTTTGAGAATATTTGAAAACATGTAAACATTTACATTAGAAAAGCAATATAAAATTTTCTATAATCAAACACACCAAAGTGTTAACAGGGGCTCTCTAAGAAGGTAAGTTATAGGTGGCTTAGTCTCTTTCCATTTTTATTTATTTATTTAGTGGCTTTTTTTTTTTTTTAAGATTTATTTATTTATGCAAGCACTGGGTATAGTCAGAAGCGCGGGAGGGTGAGAGAATTCACCAGAGCCAGAGCGGGGAGCAGAACAGGCAGAAGGACCGAAGTACACTGCTGAGGGGAGCAGCGGGTGCGGCAGGAGAGGTCTGCGCGCCATGTGGGACCCTTGCCGGTGGCCAGGATCGAACCGGCACTGCAGAGGCTGCGGGCAGCTTCGCAGCCCAGCGCTCAACCGCTGCGCCACCAGGGAGGCCCTCTTTCCATTTTTACCAGCTTCCTAGTCTTCCAGTTTGACAACTCACCACCACTGCTAAACGAGCAAGGCTGTTTTGGAGAAAATTCTCAATAAGTTACTGAAAGGCGAGGCTTTGTCTTTCTAAAAAAATCTCAGATGCCCGAGAGCAGTGCTTTTTGCAATCACTAGACCACGTCAGTAGGATAAAGCTGGGTCACCCACAGATCAGCTTGTGAATCAACTCAAGGAGCCCACAGATGGGCTCACCCATTAAGCAACAGGTGGGTTCATGCAAAGCTGCACCAGCTGAGATTGCAGGGCACCCCAGAGTGGGTGTAGAAATAGGTGCTGGAATCACGGCTGGTCTGTTCAGCACAGCCCAGATATTGCTACCACCTCCGGCATAGTAAATTTACGGGTCACTTGTATCCATAGCAAGGGGACTCTAGCAAGTATTTTGCTTTATCAACTGCCCAGACCTGCTTTTCCTCCCACTCCTTCACCCCCAAGAGTTCCCCAAGGCTCTGCTGACCCAGAATATTTACCCTTATCTGTGAGGATAATGGCCTCTTAAGCATTTCAAATCTTGTTTTCACTTAGGAATTTTCCTCTCTCAAGAAGTAAGCTCCAGGGGCCTCCCCGGTGGTGCAGCAGTTAAGCACTGGGTTGCAAAGCTGCTCGCAGCTTCTGTAGCGCTGGTTCAATCCCCGGCTGTTCCCCGGCCACCGGAGGAAGGTCCCACATGGCACACAGACCTCTCCTGCCACCCGCTGCTCCCCTCAGCAGTGTACTTCGGTCCTTCTGCCTGCTCTGCTCCCTGCTCTGGCTCTGGTGAGTTCTTTCACCCTCCCACGCTTCTGACTGTACCCAGTGCTTGTATAAATAAATAAATAAATCTTAAAAAAAAAAAAAAAAAAAGGAAGTAAGCTCCAAAGACTAGAACTGCTTCATATTCTGGCACTAATTGGCCTCCTGATCCACAAGCAGTCTTTAATCTTGACATTTCTGTTCTACCTTGGCAAGAACATTGGTCTTTATGTCTGGTTCTCTTACCACTTGGGGGAGAATTAAGATTTCAGATTCCCAGGCACCAACAAGGAGTATAAAATCAGTCTTTGGGAAGGACATCCCGAAATCACTGTTTTCCCAATGATTTGATGTAACTTCTCTAACAACATTCAGGCAACATGGAATCAAAAGTTCCCTCCAGCCCTGAACTAAAGGCCAGATTCAAAGGGCTTGTTCCAGTCTTAATATGACAAATGCTAACTGAAGGTGCTAAGAACAGGTTAAAGTACACAGAATTAAAATACCTAAGTTACCTTAAGTGCAATCCTGCTAAACCCATTTCTCACTCATGTCCATTATTTTCTGTTTTCTTGTCTCAGCCAATTCCTTACCATCCTGTCAATCAAGTCTACCTTAGGGACATGCCCAGCTTCCATAGAGGATCAGTTCGGGGGTCCATTGCGTTACCATTAAATGCTTCGATGACTTGCTGGAGAGTCTCCAGGGAAATGCCACTATATCCTTTGGCTAAGACATTGATCCTTAAAGCCAACAGCATTCGGCACCTCTCAGGGATTAGTGGTTTCCCAACACCTAAAAAACAGATTTGATGTTTTCTCAAAAAAAAAAAGTCTTTTCCCCATCCCAGACATCTCCATCTCTCAAATCTTTCTCCACTTCAGTTCAGTCGTCTATCACCTTTCTCCCCTTGGCACAGAAAGCTGGCCTACTCTCAGTTCTGTCTTGCTTCTTAAAGTCCCATCCTCCAGACAAAGGTAAAACCCCAGTTTTGCTCTCGCAGGTTCCCTTCCTGGAATGCTCCAGTGAGCCCCACACTATCCAGCACCCTTACAATAGTTTCCAGACTCAACAGACCTTCCCAGCTCACCTAATCCTGATCAAATCACTGAGCACACCGCTCTCCGCTGATGTCCACAGTCCTGCCCCAGCTCCTCCCTCCACTTGGCCTGCTCCTTTTCCTGAAATTCAGCTGAAAGGTGGTCTTGTCTGATGTTTTCTGCTTCCCTTCCTCCTTTGAAGCAAAACTGGCACCCAGTCCTTGGAATACACTCGTTGTTAGTGGGCGTTACGGGGGCCACCCACTAGGTTGTACTTGATTCATGGACTCAAATAAGATCTAGAAAATACCCCGCGTAGAAGTGATTTACCTGAGGAATGTGAGCGGACTAAGTTGAACTGGAGCTCCCTGGAAGAAAAAGGAGGACAATATCTCTTAGATACCTGATGGGGAAGTATATCTTCAGCTGGGAAAATGAAGGAATTAATCAAATCGTTGGAGGGACAGAACGAGTCTATGTGATGCCATGGAAGAAGCCAAAGGCCTGTGTTTTCCATGCTAACCCATGTGTAAGTTAACCCAAGCTCACCCTGCCCCCCCATCTGTAAATTGGGACAAATGTTAATTACTTCCCTTGTTGATAGAAATCGCAAGAGTGTCATGCGTGGCATGGGAAGGTGTGTGTTTGGTGGGGAGGGCAGGTAATCAAACTTACTCTAGTTTACTGATAGGAATTACAGTTCTGGCAAATTTCCCAAAACCTGTAGTAATGCCATAAACAACTAGAATAAAAAACAACAGATAGCTTATAGTTAGATGTAGGTCATTTTTTTGGATGTCTATAAATAGAATTCTATAGCATAAAGAGAAATAGATACCAGTCTTTTCTTTCACGATGTGGTCTATGACTTCCCTGGATTTTTGCACCTTCTTCTCGGCAATTGGGGTGAGCTAGGAAAACGTTGGCGAGAGCTGAGCCCACAAAGACTCCACGTGTAGCCAAAAGGGGCAGAGGAGAGGCTTCCCTCCTGCCCTCCATACCTTTATTTTGTAGCGTCCTTTTCCCAAGTTGACCAGGTCCTCTGTGGTCAGACTGTCCCCATCCAAGGCAATGTACTGCAGACAAGAAGGGGACCACGGTGGGTTGGGAAAGTTAAGTTGTTCTAACAAAGGTAGGGACACTTCAAGCAGATTTTATCTTTGACATTGAGGAGATTTTATCACCACAATGAAATAGTAAAATCTCATAATTCAAAAGACATCTTCCTTAAGAGGAGGCTGAGTAAGGAAACCAAGAACAGTAAATAGGATGCCTTTCCCTCCTACACAGAGCTGGACGAAGCCCTGTCTTAAATGATGGTGTTGCCCGCCCCCCTCCCCCAATGTTGCTGGCCCTCTCCAACCTCAAATGAGGGGGATTTCATTTCCTTAGCAAAACAGAGTGGTTTGCAGCTTACCTTTTCAGGTTCTCGGTATTTGCTGTATCTGAAGACAGGTAAAGGAAAATGATGGACGGTGTGGAAAAGCCCCAGCCCCATCACTGGCAGGATTAGCCCCCAGAGCAGACCAATCAGCCTACAGGAAAGGATACAGGTAAACCCCTTCCGGCTGCGATGGAATGAAGTCAGGAGACATGGCATCCCCTTCTATAACTGAAACAAAAATGCAAGAAAGAAACTTTACAACGGATACCCAATGGCCGTAGTGGGCACTGCTGGCCAAGCAAGAACCAGCTCAGCAGTGGCCCTTGAATTGTATAGAAAAGGCTGCTTGCTTGGAAACAGCCCAAATGCCCAAAAATAGATGACTGGATCAAGAAGATGTGGTCCATATACACCATGGAATATTACTCAGCATTCAAAAAAGATAAACACATGCAATTTGCAGCAACATGGATGGTGCTGGAAGGGATCATGGTCAGCGAAATAAGCCAGAAAGAAAAAGAAAAATACCAGATGGTCTCACTCATAGCAGGAATCTAGAAAACTTAAATAAGGGACCAGGAAAATGAATAACCATAAGAAAGAAAATATCAAAATCAACAAACAACTATGATCCAGCGACACTTTTTGGGGGGTGGGTGTGGGAGGGGAGGGATTGGGGTCAGAATGGGGGGGTTGCAATTGTATGGGGAATATAAAAATAAAATTTATTATTTAAAAAAAAAGAAAAGAAAAGGCTGCTTGCACATGACTCAGATGCCCTCAAGTGCGCCCAGTGCATTTACACAGGAGGAGAGCAACAGGCAGAGGTGCAGGTGTGGGGTGGACGCCTGGTCCAAAGGAAAGTCAAGATCTAACCCCCAGCTTTATTGTGTTTTAAATATTAACTCCTTCCTTGTCCACACCACTGGCCTCTAGTCTGGTGAGGTGCTTTTGAAGGGCAAAAGGATTTCAAAACGATTCAGGAACTGCAAAGGTTTAGACCTAGAATCTGGAGTTCAGATCTGGTCTCCACAACTTACTAGCCGCCGGGGGGAATGGAAGTAGCCACCTTCTTTCTGAGTCTTGCCCCTTGAAGAGGGTGGCTGCGCACCCTACCTTTCTCCTGCAGGCATGAGCAGCCAGAGGACCAGAGGCCTAGCCCATTGTCTGCACCGCGAGTGTGCACAACCCAGGCCCTCCCTCCCCGGGCGTGAGCACCCACCATGGTGGTTCCTGCCGCTCCCCCATGTCCACTCACCCACTTCCACGAACTCGTTGTCCTCCAGGGCCACCTCAAGTGGGTCCTCATTGTCCAGCAAGCCCAGGCCCTTGCACCGGCGCACGAGGAAACGCACGTCGTCCACGGAGGTGAAGCCACCATTATCCGGCTTGTTCTTCATGTAGCGGCGCACGGCCTCGCGGCCCAGCCAGCCCACCGTGAGCTGTGCATCCCCGCAGGGCACTGCCAGCCACTCCCCACGCACGTGCACCGTGTACCTGGGCATGGTCGTCTGCGTCCTGCAGCCCCACGGCCCAACCAGGTCACCACCCCGCGGCGCAGTGACAGACTCTGGGAGGAGAGAGGTTTATCTGGGAGTCCTCCCAAGGTGTGGCCAGGAGAGACGAGGATGAACTTTCAAAACACGCCCCCTCCCTTGCCTTCACTCATCTGGGCGTTGGACAAATATTTATCGAGGGCCCAACTGTCCCTTTGGGTTTGTGCAGCCTCTCTCGAGGGGCAGGGGAGAGAGATGCAAGAGGGTCTGTCCACCTGTGAGCCAGCGCTGTTGGCACAAAGGCCGCTTCTCAATCCTGGGGGTCCCCGAACCCCCTGGCAGCTGCTGCTGGTCCCCGCTGCTCTGCTGGGGCCCCGATGTCTCTCTCTCCCCTGGTTTCTGTCTGGAGTCTTCTCCATTAAGGGCAGTTTATAAACACCATGTTCCTGTCTTTATCTGGAGTTACTCAACTATTAAATGCTCGCTGCTGGCCAACTGTGACACCAGGGAGTGTGGCAATAATCTTCATTCATTTGTTTATTCCACAAACATGTTGAGCAACTCTTCCCTGCCACCACTGGGGTTTTCTGAACCTGTCCCTCTGCAAAGGGAGACTGCAGAGGCCAGAGATCATTTTCACAATAAAGGTGACTGTCTGGACCAATGAGCCACAGTGACTAGAAGGTGAACAGCCCAGGCAGCCATGGGTGGGGCACAGTAACTCCACACTTAGTGTCTTCCAGTAAGTAGATTATTAATGAGCTTCAGTTTTCTTATCTGGAGATAAAGAAGAGTAGCTGCCTCACTGCAGCAGTATCTACCTGTAATTAAGTCCTGGCCTTGCCTTTGACTAGCTGTGTGATCTAGATAAGCTACTTGACTTCTCTGGGCCTATTTTTTCATCTCTAGCATGGAGATAATGTTAGTAGTTGTTTAAAGGGTTGCGGGAGGATTTAGTGGGTTCATACACATAAAGCCCTTCAAGGAGCAATTGGTATATTGGAAATACTGCAGAAGTGCTTGCGATTATTATTTTTTGCACTTTTGTAATCTGTCTACCTAAACTGTTTTATAAATGTTCTTTGTTGGTTCGTGAACACCCCTAATCCAATTAAGTTTTTCCACACAGATCACTGTTCCCTGCTTATAAGTCTTTACCACTAGTCATAAGGAACTCCAAAGAGCTTGAAAAAGGAATCAAGAAATGTGGCGACTATTTTAACTGAGCACCAACCAGTTTCTAGTGATTTAATTATAGAATAGAAAAGTCTGGAAAAGTCTGTTCCCACTAAGCCAGACTTGTGTTGGAAGTAGAACCACAGTTGCTCACAGAAACGCCCATACACAGAATCTCTTCCTCGGACAGGTTCCAGGAAAATGTGAGAATCAAGAGCTACCCTCCTTGAACCTCACAGAAGCTTGCACCTCAGACACCCACATCCTGATCACACCCTGGAATTCGGCATCACCTGAATTTGATACATATCATCAATCTTTTTTTTTTTTTTTTTTTTTTTTTTTATAGAGGCATGCTTTATTTATTTGTTTGCTGGTTTGTTTGTTTTGTTTATACATGCACTGGGTACAGTCAGAAGCGCGGGAGGGTGAGAGAATTCACCAGAACCAGAGCGGGGAACAGAGCAGGCAGAAGGACCGAAGTACACTGCTGAGGGGAGCAGCGGGCGGCAGGAGAAGTCTGCACGCCATGTGGGACCCTCCTCCGGTGGCCGGGGAGCAGCCGGGGATCGAACCGGCGCCGCAGAGGCCGCGGGCAGCTTCGCAACCCAGCGCTCAACCGCTGCGCCACCGGGGAGGCCCTCATCAATCTTTTTTTTAAAGGTTTTTTATTTATGCATACAAGAACTGTGGTACAGGCCAGAGGTACAGGGTTGGGGGTGGTGGTGAGGGGATTCATAGGAGACAGAGTGGGGAACAGAACAGGCAGACTGACTGAAATACACCGCTGAGGGGAGCAGTGGGCAAGGCAGGAGAGGTCTGCTGCACCATGTGGGTAGCTCCCTGGCGGGCCGGAGATAGAACTCTTGCTACAGAGTCTGTGGATAGCTTCACAGTGCTGTGCTTAACCCCTTGTGCCACCAGGGAGGCCCCACATCATCAATCTTAAATGCCAGTCCCCCAACTTCTGACCAGGAGCTTCTAGTCTTCCAACTCTGCCCTTCCTTCACTCACACTGCCTTGGGACCTGACCTCCAGTCTTTCTTTTTTTCTCCACTTCCTACTGGCTTCCTTCCTTTCTAGGAAGCACATCACCTAGTTGATCACCCAGACCACTATTCAGCACTTTGAAATTTCCTTATAACCCCAAATATTTGCCTACATTCTGAGTAAAACTCAACTTCTGGATCATTGCAACAATCTCCCCTGCCAGACCCCGCCCCAGTGGAAGGCTGTTGTAGGAAGTGCTGCCCTTCTACTTGGCCCCCTCCTCAGTGGGTTTCCAAACGTTCCCTTGACCCACAGAGATTTTCCCAACAGCCACTTCTTCTAATTCTCATAGGTGGACCTTAACTCCTACATCTCTGATGTGATGCCCTTAACTTTCCCCCCTGCTCCATTCATTCATAAAATTTCTTGACCTTCTGTTACATCCCAAGCACTATGCTAGGTCCTGGGGAGGAAGTATTTTTTGCTTTCCTGGTGCTCATTCCCAGGTGAGAGATGCACACTTACAGAGATTAAGAAGAATCCCACCAACGCTCTGTGCCGTGATAAAACCCAAATCACATGAATTGCAGTTTCCAGTACCAGCTGCACCCAGGACAGATGTCAGCCAGGTGGTGCCGGATTCCAGAGATTTCAGTAGTTCCCCACTATTTGAGGATTCCCCAGACACTGTAATAAGCAGAAATAAGCTGTTTCCACTGGTTCTGTCCAGATTCATGACCCAGAGTGCCTGTAAGTCCTTAAGTATGTTATTTTCTCTCCACCTAGAACATACATATTCCCAACTTTTTTTTTTTTTTTTTTTTGCTTTACTAGATAGTTCTCATTCCTTTTCTCCAGGATGAATTCCCTAGCCCCTTCAGTTGGGTTAAATAGCCCCTCGTGGGCTGCTCTAGCTTCTTTAGCATTATGCAGATTGATCTTCGTTCATCCCGTAACTGTGAATCTACCGTCAGCATAAAAACACTCAGTATAGTCTTCTTAGTTGAAGGGTATCAGTGCAGACTCCTCCAGGCTGGCCTCAGTAAATCTGCATGGATGTTTGTCTTTAGTGCCCCCTACCTTCTTCATAGCACCATTACCACACCTGTCAAGTTTTTCATTGACCAGTTCAGTGTATCATTTATCAGTGATAAGTGGCATTAGCTTGTAGGACAAGGGAAGACTTAAAAGCCATCACTTGGGTCCATGGATTTACTAATGTCTAATCATTTACATTGTGATTATAGCTAGGGATTGAGCTGAACTCTCCTCTGATATTCCTGGCACTGAAGACAAGTGAAGGCAGAAACTTGAGAAACTGAAATTCCATGGCAGTGTAGGTATGTTCAAAAGGAGAGACCTGGCCCAACCACTATGGAAAGCTGCGTGGAGATTCCTCAACCTACTAAAGATGGAGCTTCCGTATGATCCAGCAGTTCCACTCCTAGGTATTTACCCAAAGGACACAGAATCATTAATTCAAAAGGGCACCTGCACCCCTATGTTTATAGCGGCTCTATTTACAATAGCTAAGCTTTGGAAACAATCCATATACCTAAAAATAGATGACTGGATCAAGAGGATGTGGTACATATACACCATGGAATATTACTCAGCAATCAAAAAAGATAAACTCATGCAATTTGCAGCAACAGGGATGGAGCTGGAAGGGATCATGCTCAGCAAAATAAGCCAGAAAAAGAAATATACCAGATGGTCTCACTCATAGCAGGAATTTAGAAAACCTAAATAAGGGACCAGGAAAAAAGACTAATTATAATAAAGTAAAAATCAAAATCAACAAGCAACTATAAACCAGAGACACACTACGGGGGTGAAGGGGGAGGAGGGTTAGGGTCAAAATAAGAAGAGTTGGAATTGTATGAGGACTATAACCAAGATGAAAATGCATACATTGTGCAAATATGAAAAGTGATGTACAAAATATATAAAATAATAATAAAAAAGGAGAAACTGCAGGGGAGGATGAGAGCAAGGGAGAAGACAGACAACAGGAATGGTAGCAATCTGTCCCTTTGATGTCTGCCCTACCTTTGGCTGTAGTTATTTAGCTAGGGGGTCCCCATGCTAGGTCAGTCTTGTCCCTGGGAATTTGGAACTCAGTCTCTCCATGTGTAGGGAGTCAGACTATATAATGGACTAGCAGAGCAGAAATGGGAGACTGTATCTAGTATTCATGCTCTGCCGTCCTGGGGGCCAATCTCTGTCTGTTCCCAGATCTGGTAACGCCCTCTGTCCTATATCCTTAAAGTAGTCCTTTCCCCTTCCTGACTTCTAGTCAGTTGGGTTGCTATCACCTATGAAATTCTATCTAATACAACTGTGGTTCCCATACTGTGTGCCAAGGTGCCCTGGGACACTCCAATGCACTCAAAGGGATCCTTTGTTACTCTCTGATTTAGACCAAGTTGAACTGTTGTTAGTATGTCTTTCTAGGTGCTATGTGCTCTGTATGGGTGAATGTTTGTTTACCACTAAGATGAGGCAGATTGAGCAGAAAAGAGGCGACCTCTGGTGTGCAGGGTGGCTATCTGACCCTGGTGGGGAGGAGAGCTGGACGAGTCTGGGGGATCCAGGTGGGAGCAGAGTGCTCCTGCTCTAGTTTCCACATTGTAAGTAGGCTCATCCTATGCTCACCAGGGGGTGGTGAGCAAATCCAAATGAGTGCTCATGTTTAAGGTTATTTAAGAAAACTCCAATCATGTTAAATTTTTGATTTGTAGCAGATTAAAGAACTTAAAGTATCAGGTAAAATACTTTGTGACTACCTGGGAGAAAACAAATAGGAAACTAATTAAAAATTTTTAAATTTATAGATCAAA